GCAAAAACTCACGGGGAACATGTGCACGTAGAGTGGGTATTTGAGTTCAAGGACGAGGAAATAATGATAAACATAATGCATGTTTGTTCAGCTGTTGGCAGCCGTGAGACATGAAAATACGATTTATCGGAAGACCTGCTGCATTCTCTACGCATCTTATTACGCAGAAACGGTGCAAAAATGACAGTCATTATATTTGTTCAAGAAATTAACACGACCATTTTGTAACAGCGTGTAATTGATTCGCAAAGAAATATTTAATCCCTTGAAAAGTCGACGTAATATATTACCTCGTTAAATATTTGGAAACATATTTATTGGATCATACTAAACAGCTAAATTAGCTAAAATTGAGCTGTTTCGTATGGTGCAATAAATACTCATCTTGCAACACGTCATTAGCGATAACTAATGACTCTATAAACATGTTAAAATTATCGTTTGCAAATATAAATATAATTTTCGACATATGTAGCTTGACTTTTTTAAACAGTTTCTCATTCTTAAAAAATAAAAGTGTATTATTGGTCATGATTTCGTTGAAATGATTGTTTACTCTATGTGCCTCTTTCCGTACCGTCTTATATAGCCATCAATTATTTATAACATTCACAATCAAACAGAGCAGCCATGGAAACATGTAACTGTCAAACGACCATGATTTCAATTTCAAATTTACTCATCCTTGACAGATGACAAATGTCAAATCGAGTCAGTTGAACTTCTTTCGCATTCACTTATGATTCTACATGGTGATGTAACGTGCAAGGTATTCGCGATTGTGCGAAACGCATACAATCCGTATTAAACTTTCTACCATCCGCGGAAAGAAATGCTTATCTATCGATACTCATAATTGATTTGTTCGCGTATGTAAGTTCGTTTATGAAATGATAAACTAAAAGTAACATTAATCATTATGAAAATTATCATCTGTTGCCAGACAATGTAGTCAACAGAATTAAATAAATTCATTTTATACATTGGGTTTTTGTTACTTTTCAATTGCAACGTATATTAAACAATTTCATTATGGAGATAAATTTCTTAACCCTTTTTCTATTTTTGTAGCAACTTTCTTATTTAGAATAAGACTCGTAGATATAATTTTAATATTGATTTTATATTCTCAGATTTAATTTATTTTCCCATTATGGGATAATGAAAGCTTAATCTTTTATAATTTTTATAAAATTGCGTTTGTTTATAAATTTCATAGTGCTTCTACACGAACAATTGGATTCTGAATGTTTGTTTATTTTTTATTACCTCCAGTTCTCTGGATAATGGCTTGAAACAACCTCCCACCATCAGGTTTTATTATAGTCGGGTGCCCAAAAAGTGGGGAAAGGAGCCACGATTGGCTCGCGAGCCGTCAGTTGGCCAATTTTCAATGTTATAGAACTACCGTACCCAACAGGACATCAAATATTACACGTTACAACAAATATTACTCATTTCAAATTTACGAAATAAACAGATAAAATAAAAATATAAAATAAAAAATGTCCAATACTATACACTGCTAGAAAAAGATAATTTTTTGTTAGTTTTCAGCTCAAATTTCGTTCCGATATTTTTTCTTGTTGGGAAAGTTATACAAAAATCCCATTAAAATTTTCGATTCGGTCCATTGTGCTGGCCGTTCGCTCACTTTTTGTACGGAACAATAGATTACGAACACATGCCTACGCGCAGAAACGTTCGTTCGATAGAAAACGCGTGACAAATTTCCAGCAACACATTTTAAGTCGTGAAATCTACGCGAGCTCGAAAGAAGCTGTTTCTCGTCCCAATTAGAGGGGAACGAGTCAGGGTACACTGATACTTTGTCGGCTGTTACCGTTCCGTTCTCTTACTCAACGAGAATATTAATGATTCGGCAATAGTACTCGTATACATTTCGACTAACCCGATTCTTCCTAACGCACGAATTCTTCGTAACCCTCGTATTTCATTCAGAGTGTGTTATCCACGTGTGTACTGTGTCGATGGCGGTTGTTGAAAAATCGCGACTGAAAAATGGACGCCGACTACACGCTGGAATGTTTCCGTCCGGCGAAGATCGATCTCTTTTAAACAGCTGACCACGTACATAGCTTTTGCACTACTTTGTCATTCGAGGGTCATTTTGAAACTCATTTTGCCGTTCCATTCATAGCAAGTGATTTTATTTCGTTATCATCGAAACGATAAAGCCGTACAAATTTTATTCGCGCATAACAAATAGAAATTTTAGATTAAATTTAGATTCATAAATTAATTTATGAATTAGAATTTATTAACGAATTTTTATGTTGTGTTACAATATTTACAGTATACAATAATGGTAAAAAATGGCGACGAAATTCACGAGCTAGATCAGAAAATACACCCTCAACCCTTTGACTCGATCAGTTGGCTGTGTGCGTTAAACGCTTATAAGCGTTTAACGTGTGTGTTACTCAAAGTGTGAAAAAGTTCTTCGCCCACAACTTGTACTTGCCTCAAAATCGACTGTAGTCAAAGGGTTAGGGATGATTTTCACAAGCGTTACTTAAGTGAATATCATTGGTATAATAACGAGAATTAAAACGTGCGTATTTTGAAAAATAGCTTCCAAGATTTCACTTATTGTTAATTGGACGGAAACCATTTAAATTGCAGCATACGTTCCGCCACTTTTAATGATGCTTTGACAGTATATTGTGGTCCATGGATGCTTATTATTGTTGCTGACATTGTTCGAGGCATCGAGGAGATATGTATTTTCATCACGAAAGTCCAAGCGCAAAATATTAAAAAAGAAGCTAAAGTAACCAAATGACAGGAGAAGTTAGCTAGCAGGGAACTTTTCGCTGCTAAGAAGAAAGAGCCTTATAGTGCCTGAATAGCTGATTAAACGTACAATATAAGTTTTCAACTTCATCACTGAAATAACAGGTACGAAAACTTAAATCGTGTTTCGCTCGAAACCACACTTTTCAAAACGGTGATAATTCAGAAGTACTTATAAATTTTGTCGTTCATTTGAATAAAATACAAAATAATTTTCATTTGTAAACAGAAAGTGGCAGGAAACTTTTAACGACAGTTATTTTAATAGTTTTCAATTTTTCTAAAAATTGTAAGTGAACTGATAAAAAAGATACTTATAAACAAGACTCTTTTACAAATTTTAAATTCCGCTCTATGCAAAAAGAGGAAAAAAACCAAGTTCTACAGATAGTTAGTGTAATTAGAATTTAAAATTCTTCATAAATTAAATAATGGCAAGTCAAAAAGGCATAGAAATTCTGAATCTCATAAACGGATGACTTGCTATATATCTAGAAATTTTAGAATACAAAAATAAGCAATTTCTATTAAATAGAATAAATATGCTTATTATTCATCTGATTAGGATAGTAAAATCGAGCCTGTGATAAAAAAACAACCATATTTTAATTTATTAATTTTTTACTTCAATTTCACTCTAAGTCTATAGGCTGATTTTTCATTACAAAAAAGTATCATCATTTTACACTTTTAAATTTAGAGGAAAGCGTGAGAATGCATGCACTGATTAGCTAATCAAATGTATGATTCTTGAATGGTATTAATTTGATGTACACACCTAAGTAACACGATAAAAGTGGAATGTAATTCAAGACCTACGACAAAGTCACTTCGTGAAATTTACCTAACCCAATAAATCGCTTCCCGCATAATTAACCCTTAAAAGACAGGACTTCGTTTGGGCCATTTATTTCAGACCTTCTCGATGGAGAGAACACCAAACTCTATTTTCTAATCTATTTGAACAAAAAACATTACTTAATTCAGAGTCGATTTATTATAGGAAATATTTCGTTTATATCAAATAAGTAGAAGCGAAAACACAAATTTTGAATAATTGTTTTTTTTTAATACCAGTTTGATAGATTGAAAATTGGAAGAATTCGAAACCAGCTTTCAGAAACTTGGAATAGAGTAAGAAATACTTATATAAATTTGAGGTCCCCATAGAATGAATTAAATGGTTGACAAACGTATGAAATAAATATTATAGAATAAAGTGGATTAATGCTTCTACTAGTATTTTATTATTATTAAAAATATTCAGTAAAAAGAAATTCTATTAGTAGTACAAATATTAAAAAACAAACTGGAAACTAAGAAACTTAAATTGAAATTATACATTTAAATAAATAAACTATTCATTACTTTTAATTTTGCATTTCTTATTTTTCACATTTCTATGTATCAAGACAATTATTCTATGTTTTCTCACGTATTATTATAGATAAGAATAAAAAGAAAGAAATAAAAAAACTTGAATATAAATCAGCAAGGAATAACGCCACCTCAATGAGAAGAAACAAAATGGCTGCTGAAGATTGGTTCGCTCCATGAAAAAATTCAACGAAATTCTTAGGTTTTTTTATTTATGAAAGCAAATATTTTCAGTAATAGAAACTATTATAATTATAATTTAATTTTTATAAACTATAACACTTTTCGTGGCTTCTATTTTTAGATGATATAAGGTTACCTTTGACCTCGGTCTAACGTACAAGAAAAGAGAAGAAAACCCATAAAATTTCATTTCTACTCTACGAGGTCTGCCAAAAAATCTTTCATCGATCATCCAAGATCACCTTTCGTATATGCCGCTACGGCAAATAGAAGGACCACAACGTAATAAACATTCTCGTAAATACTACAAGCACCGTGGACTTCCGCAGCGAACTGAGAAACGCGGGATTCAATTTCCTTGCGGGAGGGCTCGCGAACGAAATTCTCGAAGAATCCTTCCGGTGTCGAGTGTCACGAATCCGCCGGTCGACAGAAGACGGTGTTTGACAAACGAAACGGGAACGAATGCACAGCTGGCTGGAAGGACCCTGAAAAATACCAGGAGATCGAGAAAGTATGCGACGGACGCAGGGGGAAGCGCGACTCCGGATCGAAAGCTCCGCTCCGCTCGTACCTTGACGACGAGGCGGAATGGAAGCAGCAGCTTCAGTCGCTCGCGAACCTCCACCGTGTAAGCGTCTCCCTGCGTTCCGAGCGGTGAACTTTCGCGCACAGCGTCGTCCACCAACGTGTAGATCGCGATCGACGGGTGTCGTTGATCGCGACACGGTCTCGATTCGTCCCGATGCAAAGGCCAAAGTGAAAACCGTGAACAAGGATGAGGACAATTCCGTGCATCGACCAATTCGGCGCGTAAATCGAGACTAAATTGGGAAACCATGCGGATGTGCTTGATTCTGATCCTTTGCGCCACAGGTAAAACAACGGTTCTCGACGTGTTAGTTTCAAAGTGAAAACGAGGGTGGCGATCCGGGTAGATGAAGAGATGAATCGAGAAATTTTTTAGGTTTCTTTTATTTTTTTAATTGGATCCAATTGGATTTTGCAGGCAGTGAAAAGGCGGAGGGAAAAAATGCTCGATGCTTGATTTCTTTCAGAGGGAAAGTAAATTCACCGGTAAAGTGTATGCACAAGGTGTAATTTGTGGAAGTCTTTTAAAACAATCTTTTGAAAAGGGCTGGGGGGGGGGGGTTGACATGGGAAAGAAAGCTAATTATCAAATTGTGTTGATGAAAGTGCTTATGAAAAAATTACTAAATTAGTTGAATTTAATAATTGCAAGTGTTCATACTATTTATACCGGATGGTGATTATTGAATTTTGTATTATATATTCGAAAGAAACTTGCTCTATTCAAATTGGTTTCTAAACAGATACATATCACCTTTCACGTTTGCGAAGTTGAGTCATTTGTCATGCGATTCTCTGGATGAAATTTGTAGATACCTAAGAATAGAAACTACTTCGAATGTTATGACAAATCACTTTCGAAGAAATTTTGTATTTTCTTCGCGGTGATAATTAACAATTAATAACAACGCAAGTGTGTTCCCCGCATGTTTCTGTTTTTCTATTTATTTTATTGAAATAAAATATTAAATAGTTTATTAAAATTCTCTCCCAGTGCAAGATGTAAGTCATTAAATGCCAAACGACGCGTTTACAAGTTGTGCATATCGATGGGTTACGCACTGCGTTAATTAGTACAGTAGAAATAAACATGACTAATGGTGGTCTTAAGAGGAACCAGGTGACTTGATAACACAATTAATGTTCCTTATCTTCATACTCGAATCATTCAAAGTATTATGAGGCAACAAATACGAAACGATGATATAATCAGTATCGTATTCGAAGGTTAAGAGTCAAACAATTAATTTTCCCATATAAAACTAAATGAATAATACCTTACAAAATAAAATCTATATACCGTCGTAAACATTTACAACATAAGATATATACTATTTAGTAACACATTACATAGCGAATGATAAATGAAAAATTAATTCTATAGAATATATTTAATACTCGTAAATGATATTTTTTTTGTAAAGAAATTTATTTTGAATGGCTTCGTGACAAACTGGGAAATGGTTTGTCTTACAAATTTTGAAATAAGAAAAGAAAAAACGTAATAACTCGTAATTAAATTTTGTGTAAGAAATTTCAAAAGATCTACCCATTTGTTTACGCTACGTTTCTTAATTAGCGTCATGTTAGAACGCGTGTGAGTCTTCGTAAAACAAACTGGAGAAATATTGCTCAACCGATACGCGAATCTCTCGGAATCCAAACTGATCACCTTCGTGAAATGAGAAACACAGAAAATTCGTGTTAAATATTATTTTTTTTTTTAATTCCTCGATTTTTTTTCTTCAAAATTGAAGAATTTATTTATCGATAGGCACCTATAGGATTGTAACATTTCTTGTTACATAACTTGACATAGGCCCAATAAAAAATAAGGCCACACATACTATTGAATACCTAGAAGTCCGAACTGAACTGAACAGATCGGCCATCTATTTTTGTTAGAAGGTACGTGAATCTGCACACAGAAGATCAGATACGATGGTATTGAATCACATCGCGAATGTATCACAAAAATAGAGCAACCGCCAAATTTTCATCATTAAAACCGTTCGACATTAAATTAACACAATTTTTGGAAAGCCTCGTTGACAACAATTGCACACGTTTGAGCACTGAGAACACTTTGTAAAATGAAATTCTGTAATTAAGCTTTCATACCGGGGAACTCGACTATTCTTTATGCCAGGCATATTTACATTTAATTTAAAAGTACAAATGTTCGGTTTCTTCCAATATTGCACGTTGCAAAATTAATTAACTTGGTCAGAAAATAACCAATACTAAATTTATATATTCTATAGGTACTAAGACGAATATTCTACATTTTTACATCCATTTAAAAAATATATGATTCAAATATTCTAATAAAATTCTAATGATATTTTCATGAAAATGGGCTATATTATTTATCTGTTTTGCTAATCGTTTGAGAAATTCATTCAAAGTTAAGTTATTTCAATTTTTAACAGAACATAAATTAATATTATTTGATGTGGGTAAAGTAATTTTTCAAAAAATTTATCCTTTGCATTTACTAAAAAATTACTATTTTTAACGATTGGAAGTGCAATGTAGTCAGATAAAATAACTTTTAAAACTTGGTAACGAACAGAATTTACTTTTGTGAATGAATTTTATTATCGTTTTGAAAAACGAAATATTTGTCGATGATAATATACACACCGCTGATAAAATATTAGAATTATTATGCAACCATTGCGTTCAGCAGATGTAACCTTGTATGTATCCTATCGATCTTTTGTGAATGAATGAAAGTAAAAATCGTAGGAAGATCTACACCCGCATTATTCATGAATGCACCATACACATGTATGCCCACGAATTGCGTACAACACTTGTAGCAACGAGATCTGAATAGAACCAGTTGTTATAATATTTGAATGCTAATTACCGATAGAGTAAATCAATTATCAAAGTTCACGAATTGTACATTCCTGGAAACACCTAATGCCAATATATGTAAAACCGGTTTCAAACTGTATTTCGCCGACGCGACACCGCATCGTAAATATTCGCAATATTAACAATAGACGAATGCTAACAGTACCGTATGGTATTTTAGAAATGCGATAAAATGCATCAAAAGTACTGTTAGCTGGGTAAATATGGCAGAAAATAACCAAATGGAAAACGGAACTGAATTTTCGGGATTACAAAATGGACGAATAAATATGAAATAATTCAGAATTTATTGTACTGTAAATAACATTTTTTTGAAGTCACAAAGAAAAGAATGATTACTGTTAAAAAAAATATATTATGTATGCAAAATTATGTAGTCATTTTTCATGATACAGAAAATCGTATTTTTCAATCAGTATTGTTAAAAGAATACAATATACAATTGCATTTATTTTAATTTCCTATACCGAAGATACCTCGTTCAAAGTAATATAATTTGTTAAAAATTAGTGTTAAAAGAATATGCAATGCATTTATTTTAATTTTCTATATCAAAGATGCCTTATTTAATATAATATTACACAAGAATATATCATATAACGATACTATTTATTACTTTATTTGAGTAGATAATTTTCTACTAATTTCAAGTAGAAAATTTCAAACACTACATTGAACAGTATTTGCAACATAAATATGTATTCTTAATAGACTATGAGCGTTAGAAACTTTGTATCGGTTATGCAATTTAAAAAACTGAATACTTGCAACGTCATGCGTTGAAGTTAAGCATTTCCAATGTGACCTAAAAATATGTATCGTTTATCTGTACGAGCAATTATTGGAAATAAACATGTACAGAATAGCACAATATTTAATTAAATGCATTAATAACGGAGCTATGATCTAAAACAATTACGTGGAGAACCACCCCGTGAAGGGAAACCTAAAATAAAGTTCGAAAGGAAGAATTTTTTAAACAAATAATATTTTAATTAATTAAAATCTCAGCATAATATCGAATGTAAAAACATCGTATCTTACAACGTCAAATTAAAATAAATTTTTTATAATACACCACGATCGATAAAATTCAATCAAGATTATTTAATCTTGCATTTTTAATAGACCAGAATCGGAAACAAGAATAAAATAACAAAATTACAATATAGTAATGAATGTGCATTGGGAAGAATATAAAGCAGGTCGTCGTAAATTTAAAGGAGTTGACGCCACGGAATTCGAATCGCGTACGCAAGAGCTTTTACGATAACGCAAATGAAACATTAAACCGCTGTAAGTTGCAACTCAGTTTAAAAGTAATGCTAGAACATGCTTTGAACTTTCAACGCGACGAACAAGCGATTTTAAACGGAACTGTAATGGAGCGCATACTTTCGTGACAATTAAAAACGGTGGCACAATTTTTCTCCAAGCAAAACGTAAGGTGTACGTATGAAATATTTTCAACGATCTTTGATCGAGAGTAACAATGCGATCGTGGAACGTATTAAATACGGAAGAAGAAATTTTAACAAAAAAGAAGTCTGCAGCACGTGACCCTGAGAAATATTTAATATAATTAAAATCGTCAACATAGGCGAAGGAAAATAATATCCGTATTAATATATCTTTTCTTTGAATAATTTTTAATGAATTACAGTATAGTCATTTTTAGTTACTCTTCCGAGTTTATATTTTCAACCTCGTATTTATTTATTTACTATTCATCGCATTTAGTTTTAATTTTTATTCTGATTTGCTCCGAAGGCAAAATGAGGAATTTAATTATTTCTAATTGTATTAATTACTTATGGGAAGTAGTCCAAATAATTTATAACTTATTTTAAAGTATCGGTACCGTTTCTTCTCTGACGATAAAGAAAAGTGAAGGATGTGGAATTGTCACCTTGCATTTCCGTCATGGCGATTACCATACACGCAGCGCCATTACGATCGATGCATAACTTTCTCAGATGGTATCATCCACGCTCCACGGAACGGACAACATCAAACGAATTAAATTAGGTTAGGAACACCCCACCATACGCAGAAGTTTAATTCGCATTAACGTTGGGTGTGAAAGCTGTAAAACCCTCACTTGAACCCCGATGCTACCGACCAGTCGGTTATTGAAAGCAATCGTCACAATGTCATTGTTATCATTATCGTCACACATTACGATTACCATTACATCACTATCGTTGTCCCTGCTGCTAATTATCGATAACTATCCTATCGGTAACTATACGCAATACATGAATTTATTACCAGTCACGATCTTACCAAGCAACGTGCAATGCTATGTCTACCTTTTATCTATTCCAATCAACAAAACGTTAGCTACGATTATTAATTATTTATATTATCGCTAATATAGTTCGAAGTATATTTCTAACGATATAGTACAGATTTGTTTCAAAGGAGTATTATTATTGCCACTATTTGGGAGTATATCTTAAAAACAGTTAATCTTGTTTTATTTCAATCAATCATTACTGTTCTATATCTGTGACTCTTCCTCTTACTCTTATCTGCGTCTTATTTATTTTCAAGAATTGAATAATTTGTTAATACAGCTCTGTGATGTTTTTTTCTCGAAAATTAGATAATGTAGATTGTTGTTATTATTATTAACAGATTTAATTATTAAAAGTTAGAATAGACTTCATTTCCTATATTTAATTCGAAAAGTAAGTGAAAAAGAACGTGTATCGCGTAATTACAGGGGGAAATTTTTCTCAAAAATTGAAATTAATTTTCTTTCATCGTATTCTATACGAGCTGCAACTAGTTGGCTCGCTTGCAGTTATGTCGCGCTCAACAATACGGGCGAATTAAAGCAGCCATCGTATATTTCTGTTTAAATAGATTGCTACGAAACTATTAATAAATACCAGAGACTATTAACCTTCTTAGCTGGTGATACCGCGTGTAAGAAAAATATACACTTTCGCGCGATGATCGGACACCAAGCGCCTGAACCGTGAAGAAATAAACTTTTTCGTCCAAGTGCCTAAACATCGATTTAAATTTCTCAAAGTAATATTGGTTCTGAAATATATTTGTAGGTTATTAAAGAAAACACTGTGAAAATGTTCTGAATACCTTGCAAAGTGTTACAAGGTGTTGTTTTAGATTTACTAAACAGTGCAATAAAATTCTCTGATAACCACCCTCTACGAGTCAGTTAATAAATATTTAATTGAAAGATTTTCAAAGTTTAAATATTTCTTAAATTATGAACGAGAAAGTCGTATTTCCTTACCAGATTAAAGGGTCAAGATCAATTCTAGAAATAAAAAGTTTAGAATAAGATATTTGTACTTGGATTCGTTAAAAAAATAATTTGATGAAACGAGTATAATTTTCATTTTTTCGTATGATGCAAATATCTTTCAGGTACACTTTATCCGAATCAGCCTTTTGAAAATTTGCAATTGCAATTTGGTCCAATTAATTAAATTATCCCTAAAATGTCCTGAGGAAACGTATACACCAACTGTAAAATAATGTTTAAACGTGTAATAAAAATGAATCGTTGTTACAAATTTTTAAACCACTACACTAATATTTTGTACGAACATTTCGTTCTGTTACCAATAAAATTTTTAATAAATATTCGCGTGGCTGAAAGACAAATAGTAAATTTTTGTTTTAATCCGACAAGAGTATAAATAATTATCGTACATGACGTTCCACTCTAAGGAATAAATTGATGGAGAATGTAATTTCATAAGAAGCTAGAGTAAAAAAGGGTACACCTAGAGTGAAAAATTTCCTAAGAAATAAATATTTTAATACAAATGCTCTCGGGGACGAAGGTTCGTAACCTGCACGAGAATTCGGGTTTTCACAATCCATCGACAGTTTTTTGTGGTCCACCGTTCGTTAAATTTATTTCATCTGCGTAATGCAACCATCTGCAATCGTTCATCCGCAAAGAACACACGGTTACATAATCTTCAAATCGCGTTCAAGGACGAGGGACACAAATGAATCCACTCGTAACGAACACAACGGAGATTTATCTAACCCGTGATCAGATATTTTACTCGGATTTCCTCCGATTGTGTCCATAAAAGAAGAGCCGCGAGACGAAAGAAATTATTGCATACAACGAACACGACCGTAACACTGAACTACTTCGCCTTAACGCGTATTACAGTAACGCGTGACGTAACAAATTTGCTATTGCATATTCCTACCTACATTCGCCCGTACAGTCGTAAAGTCGATTATGCATGGAAAATAATAACTATGCAAACGGGAAATATTTCTTGAATACTTTTAGTATTCAGTCGACATTTATACAGCAAAAGAAGCTTGTGCCAAAACATAAATGAAAAAACAAGATTAAAGAACTCTCAAAACGTTTTGCAAAACTGTTGAGTTTGTCTAGAATATTTTAACTTTATTATGAAAGCAAATGAATATTTATTAACAAAGAAATATTATTATTTGGAAACATAAACATTTTCTATTCTTAAAAGCAGTGAATTCGTTAACAAAGAAATATTATTATTTGGAAATATAAACAACATTTTCTAGTATCTCAAGTATTCGTTGGCAAAGGAATATTATTATTTGGAAACATAAATATTTTCAACGTAGAAGTGAACGTGGTCAGGAACCGTGACGATGAAATTTATTAGTAGTGATCAGCGAGATATGATCTTCGTATACGTGAAAAATTCTGCAATGAAATATTTACGCGCGGACAAATATTCTAACCGAAATCAATTATCGTATATTTTAAAAACTTAATGAAATTCTTTTGGGGAAACTGGCGATTTCAATGCAAAATAAAAACGACAGAAGCCTGTAAGAATTATGAGCAATAGTACGATACTTGTAGCTATTAATCACACTCCGCGTAATAGCACACGAAAAATATCTCGAGAGTCGAAATTAATCAGTGAAATGTTTTACGATTTCATCGTTCTTAAAAGTCTCGTTTTATCTTACACCCCGCCAAGAAATGCGAATAATAAACATTAAGTCTCGTCAGCAATTTTGTCGTCGTTTCAGAAAATATTTTTCATTTTCTAATAAATTTATTTTAAGTTTATTTTAAAGATTTATTGTATTGGTTGACGTGACATAATTGGATATCATAATGGAATCATATTTTATAGGCGAATCATTAATAGGACATAAATGTTCTAGCTTCCTCTCTGAAACGTTAACATTTATTAGAAAATGTAGGTCACCAAACCCATTTAACAATGTGGCAACATCATGACAGTTATGCATATTATGCACAATAAGGATGGAAATATTACAAAGGCAATTACGTAGATGACCCGTTGCTAATTGATTACTTTCATTCAAGAGTATCTATCCCTATGAAACTTGGAATTTGGACACCATTTTTTTTGACAACGTTTTATTAGCTAATAATTATTTTATAAATATTACCATAACCTGTTCATACGAGATATATCTATGAATCATATTGAACATCTGAAAATTATTAAATGTAAAATATCATATCGCCAAGTTCGAAAAAGTTAATAAAAAAAACTAGGTTTATCACGAGCCACCGATAAAGCTAGAAATATTTAATATATAATAATATTTATAAAACATCTCAGTAATTACTACTTTTAATATTGTATCGACAAGTACAAGTTTTATTTATGGTAACACAGACTGAACGACCGAAATGAACACATAAAATTTCAATTACAAACATTAATAAATTTTTTGTTGGCCTAGAATTATTTCTAATTTTTAGAAGCAGTACATACAAAATTTTTGGAGTGCAAAGGCTTAACAGTTTAAAACAATTTAAAGGATTCAAAACAAACTCAATAAAAGTAAAAATTAGTTATTATATTGTATATACATTCCTCTTGATGCTGAATAATTTTTGGAATGCAAAGACTTTTAACACTTTAAAACAAATTAGAAGATTCAAAGCAATTTCAATAAAAATAAAAATTAATTATTATATTGTATATACGCTCCCTTGATGCTGAATAATTTTTATTTAAATATAATTTTTTGAATGCAAAGGCTTAACAGTTTAAAACAATTTAAAAGACTGAAAGCAAATCTGAAAATAAAAATTAATTATTAGTTTGTGATTAGTAATTAGTAGTTATAAATTAATTTGTATTTAATACATTTTTGAATACAACAGTAATTTATAGTAATTAAATTAGATTGGTTCGCCTTGTCTATTAATTAATTTGAATAATTGTTAAGTTATGTGACTTTTCAGGCATATCTGCTGCCGTGGTACGACCTTATAATGTCAGTATTAGTTCACCAGTTGCGAACCAGTCGAGAATCGGCCGACAGAATGAAGCTATAAAACGTTTCGCCTGCCCCATCGGGTTCTTCCGATTGAAAAGATATTGCTATTATCTAAGCGCAGGCACGGCGCCCTGGAGGGACGCCCATTTTCACTGTAAAGACAGAAATGCCACCCTGGCAATTCTCGACAGAAATGGGAAAGACAGAATGCTGAGAAAATACTTGATGGGCGATCAATTTAGTGAGTAAAATTTCATTTGATACAAAAATTTCAATTATACATATAAACGCTATTTCTACAGTGAATCAAAGTCTTAAATATTTCAGTTCGTAAATATCAGGACACTCGATCCATTTCAAAGACAGATTCTACACAGAAAAACAACAACAAAAGTTGATATAAACAAGTGTCCTGTTTGACCTTGTTTTCAATGAAGCGTTCAAGAAGAAACTCGAAAATGAAGTCAAATAAAACACATGTTTACATCAACATTTATCATTGTTTTCTTGTGTAGAATTCATCTCTGAAGCGGAAAAATGTTGAAAACGTTTCAAAACTCGTGTCCCAATAGTTTAAAAAATTATATACCTATCTGAAACTACCGTGAATTTGAAATTTGAATTTCTTCTCCGCAACTACTTCGCTTTCTTGCTTCTTGGGAATTTGAAGAAATTCAACTTAAGAATATTAAAGTATACAAAGTGTATCGTAAGTAACTTTTCCTTTTAAGTTGAAACTGTAATTGACTGTGAGTAATTTGGAGTTGAGAATAATTCAAATGTAGAAAAAGTAACTGAATATATTTTTCACGATCTGAAAGAACATTTGCACGAATACATTTGAATCTATATTTCAGCGAAATTAGAGAGATGGATCGGTGGTATATACAACTGGCAAAAAATGGTATGGGAGTGGGGCGTGACCGGTGAAAAAATGGCTTTCCAAAATTTCGGTAAGCCTCAAACCAGCCGGTCGAACCAGCAGTATGCATGGCATTGCATTACGATCGATCCAACCCTAAAATATAAATGGAATCCACGAAGCTGCGTCGAACGAAAACATTTTGTTTGCGAAGTACCAGCAGGTCGTGTAGGTAAGAATCATGCCCAATTTCTCTAGATCGACACTCATGCCCAAGTGTGCAGCTTCAAATTACGGAAAACCTCGCGAGAAAATATTCGAGATGTAGAATTTTTAAAATATTCATAAAAAATAATAAAAAAAATGTAATACGAGCCTCGTTTCGAATCTAGCCAGAAGACGTAAGAAGACTACGGACGACCCGTTCGCGCCGCAAAACCAAAGATTAAAGCCCAGAAAGAAGGGCAAGAAATATACGAAAGAGCCGCGAAAACCAGGCAAACAGAACAAACAGAATAAGCAACGACCAGCATGGAGAAGACATTGGGCGGAACAAAATGCGAACGATTGGTCGCATGGTGTGAATATGGGTTCGAGGCCACCCTACAAGTAAGATTTCTCTCATTCTCGTGTACAAAAATCTGCCGCTTGCAAATAATTTCTTTCAAAAAATTTTCCTCATTAATTAAACTACCAACGTTTATTTAAATTCTTGCCGAAATCGTACTAGTTAATTTGGAAATTACTAGTACTAGTTTCTATGCACTTACTATTACGCGTTGAATCTTTTGTAAAAAAAAAAATTAATTGACCATAGGTCATTTTATAACATAAATGATGCAATTTAACAACTATATTCCTAAATCACACCTAATATTACACGTTGAATGGTGGTCACTGATGGCCTTGAAATTTGTATAAAATACTCAATTACACTACTGTCAAGAATGCTACAAAATAAGAAGTATATCCTTATATTACCAAATATTTTTATTTTTTTTTACTATTATTTTTAAAAAAGATCTCTAAACACGGAAAACTATTTTTTATAACAAAACCTAATAATACAGAAATAAAAATACAAAATACACAGGTTGTCTCGACCAAAAATTTCGTTTACATGCATTTGTAATAATACTTATCACTAAACTATAACAGCATTTATGATTGAAAAGCATTTTATTTTAACGTAAAGTTTTTAAATATATGTTATCGCTATTTATACAAAACTACAGAAAAGCTAATATATGTTTCACTCAATAATTGTAAACACGTAATGGGGATGAAATTCTTAACACATACTGTCACATTTCACATCAAGACTGACCCCCTCAAACATACTGAAATATTTCTTATAACTTCAACTACTAGCGAATTTAAAAGAACTCAAAGGGAAAGGGGGGGACCAATTTAAAAATTGAAGAACAATTAAGTCTAGAAATTATAAATAGAAACAGAAATACTGAAGGTTCGATAAATGTTCGTTCTTCATTGAATAAAGACATTAATTACAATTCAAAGTAATAGATAGGGGAGAATAAGACCTTATAGCCTTATAGACTCCAATTTTACCTAACGATTAATTATCCTTCCAATCTTATAAAATCATGCAATTAATGACACTTAAATGTCCTTCTACAGCAACAGAACGATGTATTCGAAGAATCGAATGCGACATCATCCGAACAGAACTCAACAACATTACCCTCAACGAAGGATCGAACAGATCCTGCCTCCAGGACAAGGATATCATGTTTTTCAGGGTGACGGACCTAATCAAGGCCCGCAAAGTTTAACGGATGTAAACAAGGTTTTATACCAATTCTCTGGCAAAATGAACGACATAGCGAGCGAAGAAGTCCTCCGAAAACCATGAAAAATTTATGTAACTCTTTATTTGATAGCTTTAAATATTAGCCTCCTGAAATCTATCTCGTTCGCCTACGTTTCGACCGTGTATAAATTTTGTAACGCAAGATATATTTTAAATACATTCTGTATTATTTGAAATAGCTTCTAAGTTTGGAGATTCGTGACTATTATTAGAAACTTTTATTTAACTTATCGAATAAAGAGTTAATCTTTAAGCATTTGTACGCGTTGCTTCCAACAGTTCGGATACCGTTTACATTATGTTGAAACCGAACACAGACTGAAATAATTTATTCATTTAATATCGGCGAAACACAGTCTCTCATGTTCCTCTGTCTGAATAGGTGTTAGATTCTTGACGATATTGTCTTAGTTAGCAACATTACCTCGAATCGGTAGATTAAGAATTTTAACATTGGTGTATCGTATAACGAAGAGTGTTCAAACTTCATCGAAAATTAATTTTTAGTATATCTTTTTATTTACGTGATTATTGTAATTCTCGAATCCGATTTTCGCTTATTGCTAAGTGTACGACATTCGAAGGCATTTATAAGAAGAAACACGATTCATGCAAAACGAAATTAAACGTGATTAAATTCTTTTTTAATGAATACCTTTGATTATTTAACGCGAACAAGTCTTTTGCAATGTTTGTTTCGCGTGATAAATAAATGTTTAGAATAACAGTGCAATCATTGTAGCACGTTGTATATCACAAATAGTCAAACTGCTAAAGAATCATTACTTGTATCTCGATTATACTTCAATTCTCACGTTATTTAAAAAAATAATATCTTTATATAGCATATTTCTCTGCCAATGAAAAAATGTATTGATTGCATATCAATATTACTCGAAAAATCAGAATTATATATATATATTCGAGGTCTACAAACGTTATTATTTAGTACGCGTTATTAATGTACCGACCAGTTTGAAGATTTTTATTTTTTATGTTTTAATTTAATGATATTGTGTAGATAAGTAAAATAGAATATAACTTTTTTACTACTAAACCGTTTCAGGATTCAAGTTAATGAAACTATGTTTTAATTGTAATCCAAATGTTTCTAAAATATTGTGCGATGTGCTTAAATATCGATATATATGTAGAAAATCGTACTCGAATTTATGTAGAAACTAATCTTGTATGTGTAATATGGTCTCAACGTAACAGAGGCTTTATCTACTATTAAATTGTATTGTATTAGGCAATACCAATCAGAAACGTTAATCAAGTAAACTTATTGACAGCACTGATTAATGAACTGTTTTGCACCATTTCGTTTGTAAATACGCTAATACAAAAATCATTTACACCTACATTCTGTATTTAACGACAATGTACATTACATCAATAAAAAGTATCTGACAACTCATTGCTATGAAAAATAACTCACTGAACTGTAATAATAAACGTATTATTTAAATGCAGACGTTTTTAAACAATTTTGAAAGCATTGAAAGTGTTACGAATATATTTACGAACAAACTGATAACGTAAATCGAGTTTAAAAATATTGTAAATTTCTTATAGCTTTCATGATAAATATAATTCAGATCTAATACTAAAATATTAAAAGCATTTTGTAAATCGATGTTTTATGACTGTATTATTCCGCGAGTCAAACATATTACGATATATCGAAACGATGTATCGATGTATCGACCGCGCGCAAATGTTATTTCGATTTGTTCGTTACCGAACATTTTATTTTACCATATTTTTATAAAAATTTTCTTAACTGATACAACTACAGATCAATTAATATTCTCAAAATGTAGTTCAGAATACTCTTACATTCTCTACAAAACAAACATTCTATAAAAATTGTCACCTACCTTTATATAAATGCAAAGTGCATCGCCCTTTGGTTGTCCATTCGAGTCTCTATACAATTTGATCTTGTCCTTTCCTTTTTCGTCTCGCGCTATGAGGCCACATTTGTTGAAAAGTTCGGAAAGCTCCTCGCGAGTGATATCCAATGGTAGACCGGACACATAAATAGCAGTGTTATGCGCTTCATCTACTTCAAACCAAGTTGGTGGCTCCTGTGCTTTTCGTTTAGCTTCCATCTTTTTCTTTTCTTTGTCAACCTTTGCTGTAGATTGGGATTCTACAGATTTTGTTTCTGTTGCACTCGAGTCTGTGAATCCATAACTCATCTGATATCTTGCCATGAAATCGTCGTCAACCTGAATCATAGTTGTTCATGGATACATAAAATTCTTGTTTATTGTACGCAACAATCTTATAAATTGAAAAATCTCACAAAATTTCTGACCAAAAAAGTAAATATCAGAGTGTATTAAGAACACACCTCACCTTAGGAAACCATGCATTTTTCTCTTTATCCCAAAAGTAGACACTGCCATCATTAGGGTCTGTATACGTATGGGTGTCATTTTCAAAACCAAATACTCCTTCTTGTGCCTTGTCTTGATCAGTATTTAAATCGTCTGCTTTTGTTTCTTCTTTTTCTTTCACTACCCATTCATTCTTCTCTTGATCAAACCTGTATGTTACATTGCTCGTAGGATCCTTGTATATATAAGACTGACCATCGAATTCATATTGTTTCATGGGGTCGTCAGGTTTTTCTGAGTCCTGACAATCAGCCATTTTAATTGTCAACAATATATCATTTGAAAACTGTTCTACTGCACTGTCCAGCACCTGTAACATATAATTATGAAGAAGTATTAGTAAAAGCTACAGATTAAATTTGAACTTTTGCCAATTACAAGTATTTTGGCACTTGTTGGCTTGGTAATATGTATGATGATCATAAACAATAACCACTTGTTATTTGATAACAATGATTCTTTAAATGATTGTTAATACTTAAAATACAGTATTAATGTGAAATAATCTATTCCTAACCTATAAATACTAACCTAATAATACACCATGTATCTCATAAAACAACGTTAATAGTATATCACATAGGACATGATATAACAAATTAGACAGTTAACATTAATTACGCTTCGGAAAGCGAATAATTACGAATTAAAAATGACAATATTAATCAAAGAATCACAAGTTATATACAAGTGAAAAATATATTACATACAACTACGATCTTTCTACTCTTAATTATTTGATACACGTAATAAAATATAATTTAATTAATTGAGCACTTAGTATCATAACGATTTTCCACGACGCATAAATGCGTCATTTTCGAATACACAAACGTTTGCATTATAGGTTAGATACGTTTCGCATGCGATAATCAGCATTACTAATAGACGTACCGTTTAAACTTTGAATAATATTATCCTATATTTAAGTAACACTTGGCAATTAATGTTAATGTGAAGATTTAAATTCTTATGATAGAATAACGAGCTATCATTTCCAAAATCTGACAGCAACACTATTAATCCGCACGCTGCAAACACGTTTGCGATACTGATGCGCTCTGTACGTCTTTCTAGAACCTCCTTTTACTCATGTGCCGATAAAACATACTTTAATCGATATATCTTTAAAACTACATATATATACAAGGACTAAATATGTTCTATGCTATATTTTTCTTTTATTTATTAGCGCAATATTAATAAAAAAGATTACTTTGTATAATTGAATAAAAACAAAACTGAACTTTTGTACCACGATAAGTTTCGAAATGTTTTTAATTACGGCTACGATTCACCCTCAAATTTGATTAATTTATGAAGATCGAGAAGAATGTGGTTCAATAAAAATTGTCTTAGTCAGTAATTCTTTACCGTTTTAAGAATTTCATGGCGATTTTTTAGTACTCGATATAACATTAATAGTATTTTTATTTACGTTTTATTCAAAAATATGAAACTAATACAAGAAACAATAATCATAAGATTGTTTCTCGTATTTATAGATCTTCTGAAACTAGTGATAATGATAAGTTTGAGCATATTAATCTACCCTAATTGTATTTATTAAATGTAAATAATAACTTGCTAATAACCTTTTCGACTCAAGTAGAATTTTTGCCAAACTTTCGTGCGTGCCTTATTGTTTTGTCGAGGTATGCGTTATCTGTGATTGGATGTCGCGAATGCACCGATGCAACGTCGCGATGAATATTGGATGTCACCCGGAAATAGTCGCACACGAAGGCACGCGCCGAACGACGCCAACATTGTTTTTAATTTTCACGCGAAACATACACACGACGAACGATCGCTCCCATTCTTATCGTAGGGGCACACGTTCGGCGCGGTTGCCATTGGAAATTGATTTCCAGTCGCTAGGCAACGTTCAGTTTAAGTTGCCACCATGATAGCCATACCTGACCGGCAGTCAGTCGGCTGCAAGTTTCGCGGCGCAAGGTGTAAGCATGGGCTTGTCGGACCTGGAGACGATACCCGGTAAAACGTTCCACGAAAACGCACGCATCACGCACGATTTTATGCACTCGTTACGATTTTCTGTACGATCAGCACCTCTCAGACAGCGATCCCACTTTATCTAATAATTTTTCTTAAACGCGTACAACATTTGGCCGGCAAATCGGCGTAAAAGCGACACGTACGCGATGCAGTTTGAAAAGTAGGCATTAGAAAACGACATCACCAACGCGGAGACAAACATGTACATATGCATAGTCAAGCGCGTCGTGTGTTCAATCAAGTTTATTAAATGCAATCGATGCATCTAAATTACGAGCAAATATACATTGAAAAGATAGAAACAAATATTTTTTTATCGCTATATTTACGGAACCTGTCGATTCGACGGGCTTCAGATTCCATATTTAAAGTTAGAAAACTCATGAATATCGTTTGTTAGTGATTTATGTATCGACTAAATTAAACATAAATCACTAACAAACGATATTCATGAGTTTTCTAATTTAATCGATGTGATGATACGAATTTGTATTCTAATTGAAGGAATAACCGCAGTTTGATGAAATCGAAGACATGACGGGTTGCAATAGAAATATGTGCAATAAATGTCCATACATATTAATTAGAATTGTGTTACGAATTGTGCAAAAGTTCACGATGCTGTTATCTATGACGGCTAAAATTGTAAAATAATTCTTAGTGATTAAGAAAACTGTTTGTGTAGTTGTTTCTGCCACTTTAACGTATTTGCCGGTAATTTAGATTTGTAAATTATTACTTTGAAAGCATCGTTAAACATTTTTTTCTATTGCTTTCGTTATTACTCTTGATACCAGTCAAGTTTCACCTGTAGATGCACATGTACACTTATTGCTGTGTAATTAAATGTTATTTATTGGTCGAATATTATTTACTATCTACTGGGTCAAACAGTCGAAAACTTTTCAGTTTATAAATAATTTACTTGTCAATAAATATTTTCTTGTATGATCAAATTTCAATGTTTATTAAAAAATATAAACAAGCAAAGCTATTAATGATTTTTAAATATTATCTGTATTAATATGCTAGTCTACGATGCACATGATAATAAACATTATTAATTAATAGAAAACACAATTTCAATTTTGTGCACTATAGCTATGTACAACGTTCATTATAATCATGAGCAGTTGTATGGGAATACTTATAAATTAGAATTATTATGATTTTTTATATATATATTATATAAAATAAATTTCTCTTCTACGAATTTAAAAAATAATTTACTTTGTTTCTTCACATTATGTATTACATGTCCACGCGTTCAAATGATTATTCATAGTCGACAAATTGCACGCATTGCGTAGTAGTTAGAATTTCAAAATGCAACAATATGTTGATATCACGTTGCTTTACGAAACATAAAACCGTTATGCGTAAACGTTACGCAAATGTTGGGAAAAATAGATTTATCTGTAATCACATTTCTTTTTGCTATATCTACGGAAATGTGGGCTGCAACGTGAATATGGAAAGCACTGTTGTTTAACACGACCGTGTTACAAAATTGCACACATTAACGTAATTTATTGCACGCAATTAAATCAAGAAGTTGAAGGTCCTAAGAAAATATAAAATTGTAATTAACAAGAAATGACATGCATTTCACTGTTATTCAATTCTCAATATTAACCCCAATCTTAACAAAATGTAATTTTGTGTCACATATCAAATTTAAATAACTGTAGGATCTATAAGTAAATGTAGCAATAATATTTTTGTAGCTACACACTGTATAGAATATAATTATTATGCAAATTTACATAGAAAACCTATAGTCAGAATTAAATAATATCACTTATTGTCACAAATAAATTCAAATAAATAGTTTCAATTGAACAATTTTATAAGTCATAGACAGAGAACGAAAAATACTTGACAATTATTAAATAGTAAATAGGTATTGCATGCAGGGTCAATTTCTTTTGAAAAACGTTTTCGAACTACCCTTTAAGATATTTCATCTAATTACCCTTCAACGTATTGCAACACGAATAATATAATTATTTGGAGTTGGTACACTTATTGCTAACATAGGAGCAAAGACGAGATTATCTTATTTACTCACCTGAAGTTGAATTAAATATTGCAATTGATTCGATGCGCGGGCGAATACATTTTAATACGCTTTCATGACTACTAAACCATAGTTTCTCGGGTTAACGACCCGAAGCAGTTCCAGCAGGTGGAAAATGAGCGCATCGATGATATCGGCACAGTGAATTTACCATCTCGCATGTCACGTCTCAAAATAAGGACACGTTCTACGCCAAGTGACTCGGAATAGTAATTTCACGTACTGTATTTTACGATACAATTCGACACTCCATTTGTTTATACTTTGTTTCTCCAGAAAATCATTAATTGAACTTCGATCTCTTACAAACATTTTCGTTGTCAATATATTAAAAGTTTCAGTGCTATATTTTATAAAATGAAATAGTACAGTAATTAACCACCGAAAAATTAATATCGTGAAATATTATAAATCACAAGAATCTATGCACGCCTTGAAATATATATTTGTTAAATTGTCAGATCAGGAAAGTTTGTACTTTATAATAGCGACTTCAAGGCATTGACAGATTGATTATAGTGTAACAGCTAAAGACAGCAGAAAGAAAAGAATAAAAATTCATTTTTTTTATTTTGATATATGGATAGAAATACGAAATATTAAAAGATTCAAATTAATTTTTAAAAATTTAATAGTATCAGTGTTACATAACTTTGAATATATTTTATAGTAACAATTAAAGGTATCACAAATTTTAAGTATCGGTGAATCTAAGTTTTTATATTATTTTATTATTTTTACACATTATTTTTTTGCATTTAAATTTCAATGTATGGAGATTACTATACCAAGCTTCATGATTAGATCCTCAAGACTTAGACTTCATCTAAACATCCATCCAGCCAAGTAAATTTTATTAAAAATTCTACACTCTTAACATATCTCTGGTCCATACCGAACAAGTTTTATTTTCGATCGATTTTACGAATCATGCACGATCAACTGCGTTCGGAGATCGTCTCGTATGCGTAAATTTATCCCAGCAGAGATCTAGGATCCCTGATAACGTAATTGGCAATTAAAGTCAACGCAACCAAAGAACACGTTCTGCTCGAAAGATGGATGAGCGATGAATTATGCAAAGGGACAACGTTTGAACTTTTGATAAGAAGAACATAAACGCGAGTTCTTCGAAGGATTTACACCAGACGCTGCATCATTGACCTTCAGAAGTGATGAACTGAATTTACCGCGAGGCGTTTAACGACTGCCCGCCTAGAAGGTGATGCGATAATTTCGACGATCAAATAGATTTCCAGCCCCTTTTCTTTCGCGACAGCCACAGATATCCAGCCCCCTTTCATTTCTAACAGTCACGATCACCGAGGTCGTCCTTAAAAATTCATTCGCTCCGTGGCTGTATAGACCCCGTGATTCCAACCTTTAGCATCTAAACTTTATTGTGAATGAAGTATAACGCTGTTACTTCGAAAGCTGCTAATTTCATTTTATTTTCTCAAAATCTTCCTTTAGTTTTATTCTCAATGTAGCCATATGGCTCAATATTTAAAATTATTTTATAAAATATCGCTGTCATCTCTATTTTCAAATCTATTTTCGTTCTTTTGATTTCGTATCAATGGTAGAATTTCATTTTAACATTTTATATTTAAAAGCTTGACGATAAAGTGGAACGATACCATCTGTCCTTTACTTGCCGTTACAGCGCTATAATATGTTACTATACATATAAGTTTGAAAAAGTATAGCATCCTTGAAGTATTTCTGGCGGATTTACAGACCAAAGAGAAAGTTATCACATTGTATAAGAACTTTGCAACCCACGTAAGATATCATACGTATGTGGGTATTTGTTCAAAAAGATCTTTATTTAAATATTAAAAGTGACTAGGAACTAATTTTAAGACTATTTGAATAACAGCTACGCTTAAACTGATATAACTTAGAACGACAACTTAAAACAACAACTTAAAACGACTTGTTACGGCAACGTCTTGTCAAGTGAGTCTCCTTTTTCCGCTCGAAACATCCCTTTTTAAAACCTTTTCCGCCCCACCATTCAAGCTTCTTTCGGGCGCGTACATGACCAAATATGGTCATGCTTGCGTTTCGCACCCCTGCGCGAGAGGACGCGTCACTGGGCCCGCTGACCCAGGGGTTTTTCCCGTCCCTTTCGACCTGTAACGCTTTCTCTTTTAACCTATAGTTCTTACTCCGCTCAAGTTCCTCGCATTTCCCGATACCACACGTATTTTCCATAAAGATGATAGGAAGAAAATATTGTCAAAATATTAAATTCTTTTCATAAATTTATTACTTGGCATCTAATATACTCGAAAGCATATCGAGATCTTTTAATAACTTGGAAATGGCGGGATTAAGCGTACTCCTCGTATAATACGAATGCCCACCGTTCGTCGGGAAGGGATTACAAAAATTAATTCTAGAAATAATTTGAGTAAAAAAGGATTTTTCTCATTTGGATCGAAATTGCAATTTTCATCAAGATTTAAATGAACATGTTCGTTAAGAGTATTCTTTAGTGCAATAATCTTTGATCATGACATTTCGATATGCATTGAATGTTACCGTTATTATTTTACAAATTAATATTGAATCCAAATTTTTGCAGGCTCGTTAAAAAAAAAAAAAAATAATGATGACTAGATTTTTTGGATCACCTGCATATGACGTTTGGCTTTTTAAATACGATTATTGTACCTTCAGATGCAAACTATTCTATAATAATTCATATTGACGTCTATCTAATATTTCAAATTTATGAATGAATTTTTATTTAACAAATGTGTAAAAATTTTTTTAAAATTTCTCATTTCAGAATAATGTATGCAAATTATTCCAGTAATAATTTGTATTTATTAATAAATTTGAAATTAACTGCTGTGTAGAAACTTTCATTAAATTGTCCAATCTCTTTTCTAGATACGTTTTATACTCGTAAAAAAATAACAAATATTATTGTAAATTAATTTAAGTAGAAAAATATTGTGGTTGAAAATATTTAGTTTAAAATAAATTTTCTATTGCAAATTAATTTAAAATAACTTTTTCTGTACGTCTACTTTCAGATCCAAATTATTCCAGCAATTAGTATTATTTATTTATGAATGGTTACTTAACTTTTAGGTGTGTAAAAAATTTCAAATCGTACAGAAATTTAGAAAGAAACAATAATGGCTTCTTATAAAAAAAATTTGTACGTTTGGCTTTCTAGACACGACTGAGGTTATTCCAATAAGTCGTATCGACGTTTATCGATTACGGTTGCCATCAATTTTCAATCGAATTCGAATTTAGCTCCTGTGCAACAAATTGCAAAGAATTTCCAGTCTCGTTTCAGAAAGAAACAATCACGGTCAGATTTTTTAGATACCGTGCACGTAACGTTATCCAGATACAACTAAAGGTTCTTTTTAGATCCAAGTCATTTTAGCAATGATTCGTTTATCTATGATCTGATTAGGAGGCCCACGCGAAACGTTCGATATTTGCATTTTAAATAAATATCTGACAAGGCCTTTTAAGTTTCTTGTGTCCAGTAAGTAATTTTAGTCGAGCTTCGTAACGATAATGTACGGTTCCAGCTGTCGGAGAATTTGTGTCCGTTTCTCCATGGCGCACGATTTTTACGCCCGATGGGCATTTCGTGCCAGACGCGAAAGAAAGAAACGATTCGTCCACTGATATCGCGTTATCGCGTTAACCTCCTTAAATAAATCATTGGAGATTTAGCGCGTCTGCGTTTTTATTAACGAGTACTGCAAATTCTAAAATGCTGGTACACGCGACTTCAATTTTGAGAAAGATAAAACCAACTCCGTTGGCTATTGCAAACGTTAATTATAGGCAAAAAGGAATCCTATTATTCTTGAAGGATAAAATATAATTGTTACTTTGTAATTTATGGTTACATTATTTTTACTGTCGTTGAGAAATGTATTATTCACCATTCTAGTCTCTACTTTAACATTCAGTTTTGTAGTCTTGTTTAGTACATCTACAAAAGTATTTATCGATGAAAAAATATGTACATCTTCATAATTAATTCATCATTTTGTGGATGTATCGATGAAGGCTGAAAAATTATCCAAAAACTTACTCTTCGTTTGCATATTAAATACTATATTTTTCAGATTTCACTTATTATTATTATCATTTATATTTTACTTTGTGATGATTTATTATTGACGTTCACATTATTGGTAAATTTTTGTGTGCCTAACAGTGGAACCTTTAACATTGCAATTAGTTTGAAGTCATTTTGCATAATAATTCTATTTTCAGATGCAATTTGTGTACGATTATCAAAATTTTGATATCAATGTTTAAAAAATTAAATTAAAAATTTTTAAGTTGCCTCTCTAAGTACTTAAACCTAATTTGATAAATTCAAGGTAACGATAAATTTGTTGTATTTAAACGCTATGAATTGGAAACGTTAAAATTAAACAAAATCTTTGTTCAATTTATACAGAAACGGGCGCTGTGTTTACGATTGGTCGCAGCCGCTTTGCAGACAACATTGCATCGCATTTTTTCATCCGCAGAGATCCAGTGGTGTTCATCACGTGTGGAGACGAACATTCTGCAGTCATTTGTCGTAAGTTAATCTTTTTACTCATTTATATGTATTTAAAAAATTTAAATTTTAACTTTCTATTATATTAATTAACATTAAATATTCCTTGTGGAACGAATAAACTTAATAGTTTTCTGGCGGATTCAAAAAGTTTGGTTTTAAACACGTTTAAAGTGAAAATTACTTAAACCAACAATCAGTGAATCAGTTGGAAAGAACAAATTGTAATATTAACTTACGAATATTCAGAATAGATGACCTGCAATGGCGATAACGTAAACGCGATGGAAACGTATAATCGAAAATCAATTACTTTATCATGCCATTAACTATTTTCTAAAGTCTCGAATACACTTACATAATATTACTTCCGTCAGAAAGAAATATTTTTACTTACAAAATTTATTTGCACTTTTCGATCTATAAAAAAGAATATCGTAGCGAACAAAAATGTCAAAAACATTTTTTTATGAAAAAAAAAACACGTTTTAACGACCCCTTGATCACTGACAATTAAAAATAATTTCCTTTTTTTACTGTGTGTAAAAAAAAAGAAGAAAATATGTTTTATATCTGAGTTCTATATTCTCATTTCAAGATCAAATTAGGTTCTAAGCAACATCCGTCCATAGATAATAAACTTCTTGCATCTTTTCGGTATATGTAAAAATTTGGAACAATATTTCAAACAAATGTTAAAAAAAATTAAAGACATAAAGAAGTTAAACGAACATTTTCTCTACCTTCTCTAATGAATATGAAAGTGATATATGTAAATATTGTTTTGTTTAAATAATTATTCTTATTTTTGGCAAATTTTTTGATGCATCAAAGGGTTAAATGACGATAAAAAGTTGTGCTATAGGTCAAATGCATTGGTATAACAATCAGCTGGGTGCTACTAACTTTCTTTTTCGATGCTATATTTGGATATCTACGACTCACCCACGCTCTTAACGTGAAAGACATGACTCAATTTCTGTTTCTATGACACGTAACAATTACACGTAACTGTCATACAATTCGTAGAATACCTAATGTACAAAGTGGATATTGTTCGTGTTAACCTATCGATCTTTCGAGACGACTTACGTTGATTTTAAAGGAAATCGATGGACGAACACGTGAATGAAATCGTTTCAGTGATACGAAAGTTGCACGTGATCGCGTTTAGTATCTTTTTTAACTGTTTGTTATATTTTCCCGCGAATTTATCGCCGCCATTGCTCGAAAATAATTCTCGAAATAGCTTCCGCTTACTCTACTACGACTGTCTCTTAAAAATTGTTTCAGTGACACGGAAGTATCACACGGCCATTTTTACGACCTTTTTAAACATTTATAGCATTTTTACGAAACCATCCATCGCTGCGTTAAAAATAGATCTCGCTTAATCTGACGAAACTACATGCTAAAAATATTTTTCCGTCATTTTTTCGACTTATTTTTATCCCACGACACTGTTTATGGACTCATTTTAACTTCTTGCATGCCAACCTTCCTGCTTCGTTTGCATCACGATAGCACCACGATTTATAAACACTGAAGATGGTAGAAACCATAATCATCATTGATAAAACGATAACAAAGAACGTAACAGTTCTGTGACATTATACATAATAAATACATTTTATATACGTTTAAGATATACTTCTGTAAACATTAAATAATAGAAATTAACTTCTAAACGATGCTTCCCCATTGAATTCTTCACTTTAAAAATTTCTTATTCCTAAACTCAACTTTGAATTAATTTAAAGTTAAACTTAAACTAAATAAAACTAATTCTATTCTGTATTTAATTTATTATTTAAACTAAGTAAAATTAATTTAATTTTGTGTTTATGACACAAGTGGAATGTCTATTGTTACAAGGTGATTTGTTGGCTAGCCAATTTCTGCGCAAAATGGCGGGGATGGAAACCCATATGATTTGCAGCTTCTGTAACATGCTTTGCGAAGAAGTTACAGTCGACCGGGATATGCTTATACAGGGATAGCCACTGTCCAGTAAATCGATATGGCCACGCAATCCTCGTGCACGTAACATACCTATACGACTACAGCCAACATACCGTTATTATCAACTGTTTCACTTAATCGCAGAATTATTTGGACACGTAAACTTTCCCTATGAACCTAATACTCTCCACGATAATTTATGGCTATATGTTATCCAAGTTTTTAGAGTCGACTATATTAAACGAAAAATCAACTATATCTACTTACTAATATCCAGAACCATAGTTGTTCTGCCGACAAATCTCTTCTTAACACGTTCACTGTCATATGGAAACAATTTACATTGTAAATTATATCACCTAAAATTTATTTCAGAACTTATTTTTTCAACTTTGCTATAATTCTATGCAAATTTACTTCCTTCAACATCCCAACTGGAGAAGTAATTTTTCTAGTTCTATAGTGATAAATTCTGTTCCATTTTCGACTATTGTAAACTACATAACCTAAAATTTATTTCAGTACTTATTTTTCTAACCTTGCTATAATTCTATCCCAATTTACTTCCTTAAACATCTCAACTTATTAATGTTTCTAGTTCCATAATGATAAATCCTGTTCCATTTTAGACCATTGTAAATTACATAACCTAAAATTTATTTCAGTACTTATTTTCTAACCTCGCTGAAATTCTATCCTTTATCTCTCTCAACATCTTAACTTGGGAATTAATTTTTCTAGTTCCATAATGGAAAATCCTGCTATACATATATAGGCGACATAGCAGTGAAAGTGTTAAAAATTCACGAGAAATTGAACATTCACGACGTTTTAGCAAAATGGAACCGATTTGGGTTAAATTAAAGTGCTCTAATAGCTCATTCTTATCTGCTTTCAGAAACTGGCAGGCTATTCGTCTTCGGAAGCAACGATTGGGGTCAACTGGGTCTTGGTCATAAGAATCACATTAGCAAACCATCTTGCGTGAAAAGTTCGTACTTCTGTTTTCACGCATATTTAATTTCTAAACGGACGCGTGGGAGTCTAATAGATCCCTTACCCTTTGAGTATGGTAGAAAATAATGATCCTGGAAGACATTGTAAGTCGTGTTAGCTCAGACGTTTTGGTCACCCTGTATAGGGCTTGCGGTTAACGAAAATTGATCTTTCTTTCTTTCTGCAATATATAATCTATACATATCTAATATCAATTAGTTATTTTTTAATTTTATTAGAAAAATTAAATACACTATTTACACGAGTTAAATAAAAAAAAAAAATGGTATTTATTCGTAATTTAAAAAAGCTATTTAAAGGGTGCGTAAATGTTTCTTTTAAAGTGATGCTTAAAGTCAACTTTCGTATAGACATTGAAACGTTGACAAATTACTTCAAATTTTATTAATAGATATATAAAATTTTGATAATAAATTTTATTATCAAAAACACTTTGATTATTTGAATTCACAATGAGTTCTCATAATTTTCAGTTCTGAAGCCACAAAAGGTCACGCACGTCGCATGTGGGCGAGCGCACACTCTAATTTGTACAGGTACGACGTGCTCCGTTTGTCTCTGTTTTACAGAAACCAAAAATTTATATAATCACATGCATGACATTGCATGTTACAAACACGTTCTATTATGGCAGTCATTCAACTTTCGATATAAAAATAACTCACTGAAACCTTTCTTCCCTCACAAAACAGCTATTATATTCAAGAAATTATCGAACACCTTCGATTTCGCTTATATATTCATAAATTTCTTCTATTAGTTTCTGTAAATATCTCAAAATGTGATATGAAATGTGACAAAGAAAGTTTGATAAATGTAGAACATATACACGTTATTAACTATTATATTGAACAAAAATGATCGTACAATGAGTGAAAAAGTTTGTGCAAACTGTTTGTCAAATACAGGGTATTTCACCTAACTTGACCACCTTAAATATATCGCTTATTTTGTATGATAGAAAAAAAGTCAAGGGGAGAAAGTATTCTGTTCGAAGGCGCCAATACGGTGATGGATCGAATTTTTTTTTCAAGGTCATTTTTTTCGAGATTTCAAGGTCATCGTATTTTTTTTAAATGGGACCACATATTTTCGCTACAACAGTCTTATAGCTTATAAAAAGACGAATCCAACGATGTGCGATATGTTGACCTTCACGTGACCTTTAGCGAAGGAATTATGAAATGTTTGTCAGTAACTTCAGTACGAGTTCGGAGACGGTAAATGAAGGAATTTCAATTTCATTGAAACAGTGTACCGTGTAATTGTTTCTGGTGCTTATAAATAGATATTCATATTCTCCTTTCAACGGTTGAAGTATGTTTACAAGCATTATTATTGTAAGAGGGGAATGACCGAAGCGGGTCAATAGCGCGTTGTCAAAAAGCCGCGACGTACACAAGTTGCGGTATCGATAGCAGTGTAATAAGATTCTCCATCATGTACACTACAGCAGAAAAAGTGGAAATGATTTTATGATCGCTGGATCTTACGCCACTTGATTTCTTTCTGTGGGGGCACCTAAAAAATACAGTTTACAATGATATTCCCACAACAGCAGAAAACATGCGACAAAGGATTCTACATGCATGTAGATCAATTACTGTAGAACAACTGAAAAATGTTCAGCAAGAATTTATTTACCGCCTCCAAAAATGTATCCAGGTTCATGGTGCACATTTTGAACACCTTCTAAAATAAACATTTAATTTAAGACTGTTTCAATGAAATTGAAATTCCTTCATTTACCGTCTCCGAACGCGTACTGAAGTTACTGACAAACATTTCATAATTCCTTCGCTAAAGGTCACGTGAAGGTCAACATATCGCACATCGTTGGATTCGTCTTTTTATAAGCTATAAGACTGTTGTAGCGAAAATATGTGGTCCCATTTAAAAAAAATACGATGACCTTGAAATCTCGAAAAAAATGACCTTGAAAAAAAAATTCGATCCATCACCGTCTTGGCGCCTTCGAACAGAATACTTTCTCCCCTTGACATTTTTTTCTATCATACAAAATAAGCGATATATTTAAAGTGGTCAAGTTAGGTGAAATACCCTGTATATTTCATGAAATAATTTCAGTGAACTTGAGGGGATGTCTGTGAATATATTGTTACTTTTAAACATAAACAAGCAACAAAAGCAATTTTAAGAAAAACGAGTATTACAATAAATACTCAACCGTTTCGCTCAGTTATCAGGTCGTCCATTTAAATTTCAGCCACTCAAATTTCAGTACGGTCGCTTTTAGTATTAATTATACTTTATATAGTTTGTATTTATAGTCTTGTAGCTTGGCTAGCAACACGATCTATCCGATAGTGAACATGTACACCTTTCGATAAGGTATCTCGTTACATAAAATTGCTTTTTGAAGCAGAAAAATCCTCGAGTACGTTTTTAACAACGAAGCATGTTGTGGCCACATTTTTCATACCGAAGATTTCTATCTGTAACTCGTGATACTCTATATCATACCAGTATTCGCGATACCCTTATTTTTTCATACTAATTGCTCTAATACCCTTTTAATTTTAAAGCTCTCGTCAGAGTTCAATTTCACCTTAGGCCACCAATTGTTACGTAAAAATCAATGGCGTTAGTATTTTTGTCCACATGTTTGCTTGCCTAGATGTCGATTTAAAAAAGTTCGTTCATAGATTTTAATTTGCAAACTAATTTACGTATGAAATATAAATGAAAGCTAATTTATAAACAAATTTAAAAATATTTATGTTTTTGCGAGGTTGGCTAATGTTGTAGTCACTAGAGATGTTCAAATGTTTGAAAAGATTTTTTAAAATTTTTAAAATTTTAAATAAATTACAATTATACGATCTGGTATTTCTTTGACACAGCATTGACTACAATCAATTTTCATACAGTTAATTTCAAAGTGGCCACCTTTTTTGAAAACTGGTCTGTAAAGTATCTTTTTTACTTAATAAATATAATTAAAGGGTAACTAGTATTAAAAATGGTATAATCTTGCAATCGTCACATAGCGATTGTTTTTCTTCGTTTTAACAAAAAAACTATGCCAAGTATCTGATTACAGGTAACAACATAATTACAACGTGACCCATGTACGCCTAAAAAAAGGTTAAAAGAAATCGTTACACGTCGGTTCGTCGAAAAAAAAGAAATATTTTAATCATCAGCAAAACATACATCATAAACCAGTTCAGGCTTTCATACATTGTAAATAGATTCCAATATTCTAAAGAAACCCTGAACTGACCCGTAGCAACAATAAGTTTATGAAGCCATCGACCATCGGTAGCCTTCTACGACGTTTTACAATCGGTAATATGGTTCTTTATTTTAGGCTTAAACATTTTTCAGTTTTATTTCGTCTTGCATGTCTCAGTAAGGTCAAGGCGCTTCATAAAATTATTACCTGCTACGGTCGAGGCACGCGGAATTTACCGGACGTCACTCGATGGTGCCCCTGGTACCTGAGGGTGACCGATGGCTTGGAGGCGGTCACTCCGCTAATAATTTCCACCAAAATACTCCTCCAATCAGGGAAAACGACCGCCTTCCCTGACAAATTTCAAAATGTTAATGACAACCAATCCGCGTGCCTCATCCCCGCCAGAACCCTAGACCGATTTGTATTTAAGGGTAGAATTTCTGAGGGGAAAGTTAGAATAAAACGAGCAAGTATAAAACAAACAAGAATAAAACAAATGTTAGACTCAAAGTTAGAATCAAACATATTCAAATCAAAATTAATCAACAGTCGAGTGTAAACCATACTGTGTTAACATTAAAATAGGTTATTAAATTTAATATAGTTTAACTGCGTTACATTATTGCACTACCCCTCAAATATTCAAGCGCTATTAAATTACCGCTTGAAGCGCATATCTAATATAATTTGAATCAATTACGAATTATAAACAAATGTGCACGCTGAACAATTATCTTTGAAAATTAAAAACACAAGTAATGGAGTATAAGTAATAACGTTCCAGGGGCACAAAAGCTTTTTACCTGCGGCAGTGACCAGGAAGGTCAACTAGGTCGAGGAACTTCTGCAATAGGCGATTATGCTAGTTCTCCAGTATTGGTGTACGATTCAGGATTGGCTGGAGCCAAGATAGTTCAAGTGGCGGCTGGTTCCTATCACTCGCTTGCCCTCACCGACGATGGCGTTGTCTTGGCGTGGGGTAGCAACCTCGAGGGCCAACTGGGCCTGCCCGACATTTCCGGTTTGGTTAATAAACCAACGAAAGTACACATCACCGAACCTGTGAAACAAATTAGCGCCGGTTATTACCATTCTGCTTTCCTGACAGGTAATTAGACTGAAAATACATCTGGCTTGACAAATTGATTCTTTTACTTTCGCGAGAAGCAATTTACGGATTAAATATTGTTATTATTACGTCCATTATAATTATTGAGAACATGATCGTAAGCATACAATGAATTAATTTGATATTAAAACCTTATGCTTAATTTTTACTTCGTTAAAATCGGGTCAATCTCTTGGTAAATAATCCGCTGTTTTAGAACAGTCTAATAATGCGTAATTAAAAATGCTAAAACTTTAAACGCGTGCAATTTCGAAGCTACTAGTATTTTCTCTAATATTGAACCACTGTTAGAAATGGCAAGGTCTCCCCCTTTAAATTGGTTTTTGGTTTATATCAATGCGATTTTCCGTTTTGGAGATATCGTAATTTTAATGAAGAGGTAATTTTTTTACTCTCCATCTTACAAAATTCTATTAATGCGTTTTAACACTAAACTTACCGGTACTTCATGTATACCCATTCCTACCATGACGGGTCAAATGACCAGTCTTTCTTTTTCTCTTTTAGGAGACAACGTACTTGTAATTTTTTCATTATATGTATAGAAAGTTGTGTTTTGATGTTTATTCGTAAGATATCCTTTTCTTTTATATTAAAAAATTTTTTAATTTTCATCGGATAGAAGATGAAAACGCCCTTGAAAATGAATTTTGTTCCAAGTCGATACAGTAGTTAATTTTAGAGAAAACAACTATTTAAGAAAAAATGCTGACTAGTAATTACGTAAACTGTATTTAAATTTAAATCCATTTTCAATTAAATAAACAATTTATAGTCCAGTTTTATCCCACACCAGTCGTATGATCAATAGGAAGTGCTGAAGCTACTATGGGTATGTAGCGACAAAGTAAATGTGAAAATAAACGTAGAAGCCAGCAAAAATGATAGTAGCTGGTGTAGGCATTGGATAGGGGATGAAATACTCTTTAAAACGGGCGTTCGAACAAGTCAATAGCTTTATTAGTTCCGGAGATATAGCGATTTTAGTTTCAAGTTGATGCAGTGGCTAATTCCGGAGATAGAAGGATCTGAAGCATTTGTTTACGTTTCATCGATATCAATGAACTCGCGCGCGTGACAATAGTAAACAGTGCCTAGTAAATTCTTGGAAATACTACGCCGGAACTAGGTCAGTCGGTCAAGACTCACGTGCGACAAAGAGGTACGACGCGACGCGTCAGACGGAAACAGAGATAGTCCAATTAAGAAAAATATCGTTTTACATAAATTACGATATCTCGAAAACGAAAAGTTCGATCAACAAAAACCAAAAACCATTTTAAAGGGGAGGCTTTGCCGCTTCTAACAGTGGCTCAATAATTAATAAAACATTTGTTACATATCACTCATGTATGGGAACGAAACGCTTGGTGGCTTGGGTGTTGGCCCGATGTGATCTAGCGTACAACCCCTTGAACAGGGTTGACTCATGCCATATGTGAGCACCCGGCCCAATTTTCATTACCTTATATGGTAATGCGCTGCCACTGTGAAGGCTCAATTTCTAGTATACATATAAGGGCCGCGTTTTCTTACTAGAGGAGCTCAGTTTTTTCTAAAACTCTCGACACAACGTTACTTTGACACTCGAGGCAAGATCGGGCTATAATCCCCATCAAGCAACGTACCTACCTTAACGGTTTTATTAGTGAGTGTCCATTAGACTAATCGAGAAGTAGCTCCCGCGAACGCGCCGCGTAAAAGCCGACATAGAACTTTCGCCGTCAAGGCAACATAGCAATAGCACCAGCTGTGTTAATTGGCCATTGTATTTGGGCATCGACTAGAATATATTCAAGTAGTTATCCTCACTTGCATTATTCACTTAATACAACCCTGAATCCTATTAACAGTAAGACTAGGGGTATCTCACGAACCCGGTACACCTTTACCGCTCGAGGTGTACCATTACGACAGAGCAAGATCCTAAAACATTCTAAAATCCTACGAGGCTCCCAGGGCATAAAGCCCCTGGTTGGTTCGTGAAACCATATATTTTAAATCTAACCCCATGGCTTCCAGGGTATAGAGCCCCTGGTTCGTCCACGTAACCTCTTCCTACGATTCCCAAGGTATACATAGAGAGCCTGGTTCGGCCGGAACTCCTTTCTCTTTCCTCACCAAATCCAGGATCTCGCGCTTGCGCGCGTAACACGCTAATAGTTTCGGTACTGCACACTTCTAAATTTTAACTTTTTAATACGCGTTGTAATATTCTTCTAAGACAGTGGAAACCGAAGATTCTCTCTTTCGTCTTTGCTATACATACAGCAACCGGTCAGATGACCGGTCGTGGTAGGCCAGACAGACTACATATTTTTCTCAGAAAACAAACAATAAGAATAGAAGTGAATCTTGTAAAATTCATTATACGTATACTATAAGAATAGTCGTGTAGTTAAATGGAGCTAAAATAATATTGTGTATTAGAAATTCTAAATGAACTTTTAAAAACGGTCATTTGACCAGTCGTGGTAGGTTTAATGTTAAAAGTACTAAAAACTTTAGACGCGTGCAGTTTCGAAGCTACTAGTATTTTGCCCATTATTTAGTCTTTATTAGAATCAGCAAAGCTTCCTCTTTGAAATGATTTTTGTTTTATATTGTTGCAACTTTCCATTTTGAAGATATCGTAATTTAAATGAAGAGGTAATTTTTTAAATTACACTATCTCTGTTTCGTGAGTCGTGACAGTCGTGAACAGAAAGTCGTAATATTTCCAACAATTTACTACACACTGTTTACTATATACGGGCGCGAGGTCAATGAACTCGCGACGTCAGAATGAAACGTAAATAAACGCTTCGAACCCTTATATCTCTGGAACTAACCACACTATCGACTTGAAACAGAAATCGTTATATCTCCAGAACTAATTACGCTATCGACTTGAATGAATGCTCGTTTTAAAAGGCTCTTCATCCTCCATCTAACGAATATAACAATTATTATTATTTATGCTGTCTTCTATGTTCATTTTGAAATTTACTTTTACTCTATGCACCCAAAGAAGTATCAGCAATTCCTATTGATTATACGACTTGTGTGCGATAAAACTGGATTATAAATTGTTCATTTAATTGAAAATGAATTTAAATTTGTATACAGGACGTCCGTGTAATTACTAGCCAGCATTTTTTCATAAATAATTATTTCCTCCGGAACTAATTACAGTATCGACTTTATTCAAATTATTACTATATTTCATTACAGTATTTTTGAATCGCTAATTATCATCACTTGTTATAACAAAGTTTGTAATTGAATCTCGCTTACAAAATGAATTTAATCTAATTTTTGGGGTAGAATATTAAATCTCAAAAATGTTCTACATTTAAAAGATTCTTTAAAACGATACATTCTATTTAAATTATTTATTGTCACAATTTGTATTTTTAACCACGGGTCTCAGATTCGTAAACTAGATCGATTTTGTAGTAACTTTCTGTAGAGAAAAGTATGTCACCGTGTAACAACTTCCGGTCATCGATTTCTATTTCCAGAAAGCGGTCTGGTTTATGTCTGCGGCGAGTCGGAAAGTGGAAAGTTGGGAATCGATGCGAAATTTTCTAGTCAAGCTGCGCCTAAACAGATGCAACTACCTTGTCCCGCCATGCATGTAGCATGCGGTGGTCATCATACTCTCATACTGGCCGGTATGCAATATTTAATCTTACTGATTAGTGTAACTCAAATAGCAATTTTTTACATGTTTTTCGAATTGATCCATTTATTTACACTTATATTAATTATTAATTTATGTCGACTTACATCCTTTCTTCATCAACATATATAAATATAAATTACTGCTTACTATTCACTAAATTTTCAGATTTTTCTGAAGACGAGTATGAGATGAGAAGCATTATTATATTCATTATTAATTTATGTCGACTTACATCCTTTCTTCATCAACATAAATAAATATAAATTACTGCTTACTATTTACTAAATTTTCAGATTCTTCTGAAGACTGTTTGCAAGTAAAAAAACAATAATCAAGTAGCATTAGTAACATTTAGAATAGATTTCTTGTATCGAGTTCTGCCAAGTGTACATAAACGTGAACAAATAGTTATTTTCCAGTAAACGAAGGTACATATGTTTCGATAATTGACATTATTGTTTTTTTAAATTACAGAGAATGGAAATTTGTATTGCACTGGAAATAATTCGAGCGGCCAACTCGGTCTTGGAATAAACGTTACGGAACTCTTCACGCCAAAGCTTCTTCCGCGCGGTGCGCTGCAAAACGAAACAATTACTCGGATTGCTTGCGGAGAAAGTCATACTGCCATTGTAACTGGTAAACAAAGTTTGCATATATATTTCTGAATCATCTAAACGAAAGTTACAACCACAATAACGAACAAAAAAATAACAAAAAATAAAAGTTGCAGCCGCAACAATGTTTCTGTTACGTTACTATTCACCATCAAAACATAACATCGGAAAATTAATGTGAAAGTAACTAATGAATAAAACTGTTTTCGTTGGCCAAAAAAATTACATCAGAATTTTTTTTTTCATTTTCACAAGCTTAAACAAGTTACTTATTTCGTCAAGTATTTCGAAGATAATTTCATTTGTGTTGCATGTAATAAATAATTATGTTTTACCTTTCTGACAGTAATTTTTTGCAACAGAGTCTGGAAAACTTTTCACGTGTGGCGATGGAAGACACGGGAAATTGGGTTTGGAAGAGAACGAGAACAATGTTCACGAATTAACTTTTGCTCCAAGATACAAGGAAGTGTTTGTCACGAACGTAATTATAAACTCGCCCGTTTACCATTTGCCTCTCTCTACGATATTTTCTCTCCAATTTTTATGTATATATTATTTTTGAATTCAAGGTTGCGTGTGGTGGCTGTCATACAATTTTGGTTGCTCAACGACGCGAATCGAATAATCTGACTCAACGAGAAATGGAAGCTACTCAAACTGTAATTAAAAATTATGCGTACACTTAAATAATCATCCTATATTATTGTACACATTTTTAAATTATCATTTTTATAATGTCTTTCTATAATCTTCAAATTAATTTTCTTGTTTTGTAAAATAATATACATATGTAAGGTTTCATGAGGATTATTTAATCTAATACAACAGTTAGGTCGCATTGATAGAATTCTTTTTTCAATTACGACATATTTTACTATATTTTCAATATTATAATAAATCTTGTACATTCTTCCTGTAATTTATATATAACCAAAAAGTTATTCATTCTAATGTTGACATATTTTACAAAAAGAAACAAATAGCAAATCTTTATTGTAGGATCATATTCAGAAGAGAAGTTCTTTGCCACCGTTAAAACTTCCTGTAAGTAGGATGCAAAGTGAAGTTCACGACGAGAAGATAGACGAAACGGAAAAGGAGCAGTCAAATCAAGAAGAAATCACCGAAGAAACGTCTACCACTTCAGCAACGATAGAAACACCCTTGGAAAGTGTTAGAGAAGACACAGAAGATAATCGAGAAAGTATCATGAACGGTGTTCCTGATTCGATGAACAATATCGAAAAAATTGATAGTCCTAAGAAATCTCCCGAAGCTTCGCCTGCAAAAACACCGTTGGAAGTAACGTCGAACATGTCAAACCAAATGGAAGTTAAATCAAAGGATATACCAGAAGAGTCCAAAGAGTCCAATGCACAGAATGGAAACGCGGAAATAGAAAATGACAACGAAACGCGAGAAACGGAAGTGGACGCAGAGAACAACGTCGAAGAAACGAAGAAATCTGAAACTACGAACAGCGAAGAAAATAATAATAAAAACGACAACGAAACTAACGAAGAAGCAAAGAAAAGTAATAAGGAGAATGTTCAACTCGAGAACGAAGAAAATAATACTACCGACGTTAAAGACAATGAGAATGATAGATCGAAATCGATGGACAAGATGGAGTCACCTAAGAATATCAAGGAAGAGACGAGTCCAGAGAAACAAGCGTCCATTCCCGATTCCACGCCACCACCGAAACCACCGAGACTAAAGTCTGGAAATGGCAACGATTCGTCTGCGGAAAGATCATCGTCGATCGAACAGGAAGATGAAAATATCGTTGTAAATGCGACGGAAGTTGAAACTGTGGCTGAAAAACCGGAAATTACCAACGTCATTGAGTCAACGCAGAAACGTGAATCAAGCTCGAGGAAATCTTCGACGAAAACTGGAAGTTCTAGGTCGTCAAGGTCGAGAGTGAACACCGAGGAAACGATAGAAATCGACAAGCAAAATGACAAAGAGAAAATCATCGAAGAGGAAAAAATGATGAACGACAATGTGCAGGATGACGCTGATGTTGTGCAATCACCAGCGCCGAGAACTGGTGAGAAAATTATGAAGAACTGGTTAAAAAAATATCAAGTTTAAATAGAACTTTTAATGATATAACTTGTGTGTTTAAATAATTTTTTAATTTAAACGCACAGAAAAGTATATTTGCAATTAGATTCTTAAGTGAAAAACTACGGTCAGTCATGAGCAAATTAAAAATAGGAAAAATTCTGCGGACAAATTGTATTAAATTTTCTTTTATTTAAAGAAATACACGGAATTTAGTTTCCAGAGACAAATACAGAGTATTTAACATTTTTGCTTTGTCCAGATTAATAATATAAAAAATAATTAAAGAAGTATACCATTTATAAAACTTAATGTTAATTTTTGTAAATTTCTATTGAAACGAGTTTCGATAAAACATATTTATATTAGTTATATAATACTTTGATGTTATATGAATTTTAAATAATGTTATTGTTCAAACGAATATTTTAAAAAGAGTAATTTCGAATTTTCACTTTTATTTTTTTGTGCGTTTATATGCCTTCCAAAAGATAGCTAAAATTGCATCTATAATTGTGTAAACGATACACAATATGATGATAATTTATAATTGTTTTAAATTACCAGGAAAAATGTCAAAGATGTTTAAGTCGAGACGACAACAAACTGTGGAGAACGGCACAAAGACGACTGGTACTGTAAATCATAAATCCAAGGTAAATATAAAAATGACTCACTTCTATTAACTAATACAGGTTGAACGAGTGAGTGTTACAAACTTTACAAAAGAGTTTTACATCTGCAAAATTAAAAAACAAATCCTAATAAACATGGTTTCAATTTTTAAATAAATACAGAGTACAATATTAAAATATATAATTTTGATTTGATATTCCCAACCATGGAATTAATCAATATATGGTAATTTTGTTTGTAAAAATTTTAGTTTAAGGACGTAATGTTTTCAATATAAAATGCTCGACCACTAGTTTTGAAAATTCCTTCCTTAATTTTTAAATATAGAAATTATTAAAATAAATGATGCTTAAACAACCTACTTATTTAATTAAGATTAATAAAAAATATTGATTAGTATGGAGTAAAGCAATAATTTAAAGCCTCAAGTCCGTGTCGATTATCTCTAAAAAATGTTTAAATCATTTTTCATAGTTTTCAGATGTATAATTTTCCTGTAAATTTTGTGGAACCTCACCAAACTCGAAGCTATTTTGAAAATAATTCACATACACCTTGCGTTGATTTCAGTCGAAAACGTGCAACATCCTGTGATCGAAAAATGGCCGACGATGTATTATACTTCGTTACATTTTTTTACAATACGTTTACGATAAGTATATAATCGGGACCAACGCATCGAAAAACGATTTTATTTACAAACGAGAGTAATCTTTCTTTCCATTGTCCATGAAATTGTAACGCTCATACGTATCATATAAAGATTGCATTATAATTAGTAAGCTCTTCTCCTATTTTCTACCAAATAATTTCAGTCGACGAAAAAGGCAATGTACGCGTAAGGCGTTAGTTTAAATGTACTTGTAAATACCAAATAAATTCTACGACACGAAAATGTGTGACGCAAATGACTGAGTTTTGAGAAAATAATACAACTCGGTTCTTTTGTATAATCGCTATAAATAAAAGTAGACGAATAGAAACCTGAAAAAGTTATTATTTTCAAATTATCTACGCATAAAACCAACAAAATTAATAGCAGCTTCAACAGAGTAGCTGATGTTATAATATGATAATATGCACGTAGTAATGTAAACAAAACAAGGGAAGGGGAGACATAAGTATTGGAAAATTAAACAAATCTCGACGTGAAAATGTACGAATACAATTTAAAAATTTCCTATAAAATAAAAGTGCGTTTCGAATCAAGGCCAGAATTTCAAATTTCAATAAAAAATATTTTGAATAGCAAAAGTCCAGGGTACTCAACTTTCTAAGAGTTTTGTTTCTTGCAGAGAGCTGTCAGTTTTTCAAGGCTGGCCGCTGTAAGAAAGAAATTATGCTCTTTATTATCGAAATTAGAGAATAATAATTGCGGCAAATTATCTGACAGCACGTATAACATGTTGTTGGATTCGTCGATGGACAAATCGTTGGGGAAGACCAGCGTTGTGTTATCCTGCGCGGCAAGTACTGGAAGAGGAAACAAATTATTCAACGTTAATTGTTTTCTAAATGCAGCCAAGATTTCTTAGTATTTTGTTACATAATAATCGATCGATAGAATATTCTTCGATAATATTTCTACAATGAAGAATCGAAAATTTTGTTTGTCTACTTCAGTAACAGGATATAAAAAAAATTCATATTATTAGAATTTAATTTTTTGTTTTTTAATCTGTAAACCATTTAAAAAGAATTAATTCGTAATTTCTGCTCCTTTGAACTTTGATTTCAATCGTATCATTAAACTTGTTGACATAGATAATTTTTTGACAAAAATTTTATTAGACTTCTCAGAACAATCATAAACGTATACTTTTGTTTAATGTGTCAACCTTCGTTTTTAAATCTTCGTTATGCAATTGACGTAAGTAGAAGTATCACTGGTTGTGTGACTACCCATTTCGTTGCCTACTGTTCGCAATTAAAAATTATTTAAATACTATTTTTTAATCGATGAATAGCAAAAATAAAATATACGTATACTGGTAATATCGATAGCAAATATACAAAGTAGTATGAAGAATTGTGCTTACGAGTAAACAATAATATTTAACTGTAAATAATAACAAAATACTAATTTTATAATAAGAATCTAAAAACGAAAGTCGAGGAGTCGTGAAAGAAAACTTGGACAGGAATTATTAACATTCAGTTTTTAAATACTCCTCTACAATAACAAATTAAGTTAATGCTTACTGAAACTGTCTGGATTCAATTTTGCATTGGTATCCCAGCAAGCGATTCCATTCCTGTTAACTTGTGTAAAATAATTTATGCAAGTTTTCGAGTCGATTAGAGACGAAGGTCCTTGCGTCGTTGGACCTTTGGTACCCTCTACATGGAACACCTGGTAAGAGCCAGACTTGGCTAATGTGTCGTCTTGCAAGACTTCCGTGGACACAGAAAATTCCGTGATACCAGACATCGCGTGGAAATACAAGGTTTTGTATCCATCGTTTCGCCGCGGAGACAAGGACATTCCAAATACACCATCCGTCCATTGGAAGTTGTATCCACTGATGTTGTAATCACCTGGAAATAATTAATTTTGACGTTGCATGCTTCTAGAGAAACCTCGACACGTTACTTTGAACATAAATAATAAATTAGCTGCCATAAAGTCTGATAATTAATCCCACTATTTTGGAAATAAAATATGAATATATCGATGGAAAAACATTAATAGAAAAAATAAAAAAATATAATACATGATCAAATGATATTTGTAAGAAAGTAATGGACGTCAAGATTTTTCGTTTGTTGCTCTAACATTATGATGTGTCTTTAGACCTAATGTATTTAATAATAAATTTTCTAAAATTATCGAAATATATCGATGTGAAAATATTAATAGGAAATATAAAAAGTTTTATAATAAATGTTGTGAACATATATGGAACTATAATCTGGATGGTAAAAATGTAAAATATGAAATATTTAATATTTTCTCAAAACATCTCACCGTGAAGTGGATCAAAATGAAAGAAGTTGTGTGTGATTCGCCAAGAATCGTTTTTAGCCCAACTATAAACTACTACTCCGTATGCAGTCAAATCGGAAGTGTAAAGGTATGCGTTTTCACAATTGTTTGGATCAACGTCGATCACTAAATCAGCGAAGAAGGAATTCGGCGTTTGGTCCGAATCTTTCAAAGTGTAAATCCGAAGTATCTGCAGTAACAAAGTGCATCTAATTATTACAAAGAAATACATTTATTAAAAAATGAAACGATTGAGAGTTTTACAATTTAACAACTTGCTAGCTTCGTTCGATGGAACAATTAAAAACATTAATTAACACGTTTACCATAAAAAGAATTTTATAAAAATTTCTTTGAAAGACTACTCAAAGTTTGTTCGTAATTTACATTATTCTAACTGTGATTATATATTCCATTAAAATTCAAATATCATATATGAACAAATGAGATAACAATCAGTGTGTTATAAGAAAATATATTACTGAGAAAAATACTTTACGTCACCTTATCTGTCTTCAAATCAAACACAAAGATCCTTATTGGCTGCAAAACAGTGGTATTGCCTAGAATATCATCGACGCCTGTATCGACTCCCCACAATCGACCACAAGCATCAGACCTAACGCGAAAGATATTTACAATACCATCAGGCTTGTGACGGTCGTTTGTTTCCCAATCAGGATACGGAATTAATTTCGGTGATCCTGCGTATAAAAAGAGTCATACGTAATTGATAGTAATCGAGTACTGTGTTCATATGCTAATTCAACCACAAAGTTTTTCAATGACGTTACTACTGCCAATATTGTTCAAAAATAATGATTACGTGATAGAAACCTTTCTAATCATCTTTTTAAAATCATATACTACTCCTTCTATATCACTATTAAATTTCTTTTAAGAAAATTGTTCCATTTTACTCGTATAAAACAACAGAAATGTATAAAATATATAAACAAAATATAAAAACGAAAGAAATGTATATTTTATTAAAAGAAAATAACTGTTTCCTCGTGATTCTCAGTCGTTCTGATCGTCCATTTTGAATTACAGACCTAAAATTCTATAGTTGAATCTGCTAAAAAAGGAGTTGTCATGGCGTCGTATAAAAATTTTTTACTGTACAATATTAAAATTTTAATCTATCGATGTTAAAATTAACACCAAGTATGGAGGACCGCGTTAACATACTTGATTTATCGTCCTTTGAAAAGTAATTCAGATTCGACACCACGCCGTTCTTCCATCGCGGTATAGTGATAAATACTTTGTCCGCCCACAAGTGTAAACCGAGAGGAACATTGTTCTCCGGGACGTAATCTCCATTGGACAGCAACGAGTTACGAGCACTGTCGTTTGGAAAATTAAAATCGACAAAATCCCACGAGTGAAGCGTTTCGAACGGTTGGCAGCTTGCAACTGCGAGAAACGCGATCAACAGAATGTATTGCATGGCTGAAAAATAAAACACATTAGTATTTTAGAGAAATATTTCAAACAATTTCATATATCGGAGTAGAAATTTCTTCAAATATCGGAATAACACTATATGAACATGTGATAGTTTATTTTATATTTATAAAAGGTTATTTTATATTAATGTTGTAATAGATTTTCTCTAGATTTAATCTATTTTCATAAGAAAGAATCTTTAAACGGATACATTAAAATCATTTCATAGTCATTCGTATTTTCTAAAATTTATCATTTCGTACATTTTCTTATATCGGAGTGAAAATTTCTTCATATATCGGAGGTCATACTATATGTACATATAATACTTTATTTTATATCTATAAAAGGGTATATCTAATGAACAGTGAATCGAAGAAACTGTTCGGGATTAAGAAAATCAATAGAATTTCATAAGAAAGAATCTTTAGAAGAATACATTAAGACTATTTCAAAGTCATTCGTATTTTCCAAAATTTATCACGCTCTGACAAAGTTTTTCAACGTTCACCTTTTTTCGTACACTCAGAGAGGACGTAATGAGACGTGTTGAATAAAAATACATGTTGCATGACTTTACCGAATTCACGCTTTAACATCTTCGCTGCTTTCTCTTTCATAAAATATTCTCATGATTTCCAGATACTTTTAAACGAAACGCTTTGATAAAATGCTATGTATTACGTAAAAACCGGATCTGATGATCCATAAATATTCAACTAGATATTTTTACACAAATTGTAATGGAATTTCTGTGAAATTTTCAAGATTTGAATATATTAAAATACAAAATTGTTTAAAAACATATAATCTGCAACATTGTGTATCTTTAGTGTAACACGCATATTGACTGTGCTATTAATTGACGTATAAGAAGCTATGAATGGACATTCGATGAAAACAATTTCAATAATTATTGCAAAATATGTAAATATAAGTATACGAAATATTTACATATAGTTTTCAGACAATTTTATGATGTGCATTATGTATTGTATTCCCAATTTTTACGGCGTTACAAAACACTGGGTTCCTTACTTAGGAGAAATATTAAAAACAAATACTAAAATTTTCTACCAGAGATGAGAAAACCTTACTTTAATCGCGTAATCACGCTCGAACTCAATTTATGTGTGCCAGACTCCTTTTAAACCACCATCAGGTACTTTAAAAGTCTTGCGAAAGATGTACATAATATAATGCCCTGAGGGCATAACTGTACCCTGTTTCTCGATTTTGGTGGTGCTTGTCTCAAGAGTCTGTCGAACGCCTAAAAAACTCGTCAACTTATTTAAATGCTGACGGTAATTATAATTCTAATTAAATTTAGATAAAATTTAGATATTTTTTAAGAACTAAATAACAGAAATAATAAAATATACGAGCTTGTATTTTATTTACTAGGGTGTTGTAAAATGAAAAAAGAAATACATAAAATATCGCTCATCCTATTCCATTAACGTCTAAAAACTTTTTAGATAATGAAAATTTTGTTAAATAAAAGTACACGGAATGAGATAAAAAAAATAATTCTTCTATGTTTAATGCAATAACCGTGACTATGGTAGTGAGAAAATCTGCTAAAGTGTCATCAAGTAGAAAGTACAGGCACGAAATATCTGCTTGTGAATATGAAACGTCAGCTGTATTGTTTCATAAAAACTCACAAATTGATCAATAATAATAGCACTTTCGAGCGGTGAAATTCGTAGCAAATAAAAAACTGTTTTCAGTGCCATTGAAATGAAAAGACACAAAAGACAAAAAAAAACAATTATTCTGTTATCATTGTAATTCCATCAACGTTGCAATAAATTTCTAACTTTTAGAATTATTTATTATTTAATTATATTTACTCACCTTCGTTTTAAGTTTAGCTTCACGAAGCTCGAGGAGGAATCAAGATATTAATGCAACCTGGATACTAACCGAAGAACGAATTGTCCTTCTGCTGGGACAGTCCACGCCAGAATGTCGTTGGTTCAGTGTGGTATAGTACTTTATATACGGCGAACACTCGTACGCCGAAAATAGAAATCCATTGTTCGGTTTCAATCTTACTTACAGTTGCAAATATCTTTATGCAAACAAAAACAAAGAAACATTTATATTTTTTCATAAGTAAAGAATATTTAATAATATATCATTTAACTGTTTGGGTTGTTTCATTATTGTAAAAAACTTTCCATAGGTTTTATAAGAACACACAATTAAATAATTTTCTGAACAATTTGAATTGTCGCGTACAATAAAACCGAAGGGGGATCTTAGAGGATACTTGTATTATTTTTTACTATATTGTGAATCACTCTTCATCATAGTAAAATAAATTTATATTATATATTAATGAAATTATAAATAAATATTAGTAAAACACAAAAGTCAAATTATAAAATTTATCAAATTATATAAAACGCATTCTCTAAATTATTATTTTACAAAAGAGAGTGCATTTATTACTTCAACTTTTCTAATCTTGTGCATGTAATAGTTCAACGTTAAAAAATTACAAAAATACTTTTGCTCATTTGTTTATTTATATTATAACTACCTTTAATTTTCATCTAATTATATTCAACGAATAATTTGATTTTTGTGTTTTACTAATATTTATTTATAATTTCATTGTTCATATTTAAATTTACTATGATGAAGAGTGATTACGTAAAGTACTGTTTAGACGATCGTTGCAATTTCCGTTAATTGTTGTACCTCGTGTTTTGTTGTATTTCCGTAAATGTCAGAAGAGTTGAATCAACGTCACCGTGTACTTTAAGGTTTAAACAGTCCCATCCGGTAAACGGAAACACATTCAATAGCGCATTCGATGCATAACACTTTACACACGTAACAGAGTATGGTAAATGAATACGTAATTCTGTGCAGCGATTCATAGTTGGCATAAAAATTCATACACTGCAATAATCTGACGTTAATGCCTCGAGGGCAACTACTATACTTTTTTATTTATTTCAAATCGAACAATCTTCTTTTGGATATTAGCAACCATATTTATATGGTTCATTTTCCGTAATATGTAATTTTTAAGTGTTTCACACTTTAAAGTTCTGTAATATGAATATTTTTGTATAAGTTCTTCCATATAGGTATGTTTAAAATTTTATTGCGCTTTCCAAAATTTTCTTCTTCTTCTTTCTTCTTCTTCTTTGTGTTTTTTACGCCGCGTCGACTGCGAGGTCATTGGCGGCGGATGCGTGCTTGCGCGCTATATTTGATTATACATATTTGTTTCTTTGAGAAATTTTAAAGTGTCACTTATGTGGGCCTGAGCTGTAAGGGCTGTGTCCGGTTTTATCCCATATTTCTGTCTTTGGGGTTCGGTTCTTCTGCACTGGTATAGGATGTGGTCTACTGTGAGGGTTTCAGTGGGGCAGTGGCTGCAGTACGGTTGATCGGTTTTTCTTATTAGGTGTTCGTATGTTATCTTTGTGTGACCTGACCTTAGTCGAGACAATATGGATTTTTCTTTCCTATTTAAATTGCAAGTAGGAATTGGTTGGTAAAAGTTTTGTATTATATCATGTATTTTTGTTCTTTTTGTTGTGGTCCACATTCTGTTCCATTCTTCTTTTGTAGTTTTTTCATATGGTTTATGAGGTCTTGATACGGTATTGGAACGGTAGTTTCGGTAGGTGATAGGGTTGTTGCTTCTTTTGCTGCCGCGTCTGCTTCCTCGTTTCCCGGTATGTCTTGATGTGAGGGAATCCAAATAATATTTATATCGGTGTTGTAATTTTTGTCTAATTCTGTGTATGCTTCTTGTATTTTTGTTATGATCTCATGGCTATTGTTGCTGTTTGAGGTTTCTAGGGCTTTTATCACGCTCCAAAATTTTTTTTTTTTTTTTTCGTTACCCTTTAAAACTTATAATTGTTAAAAACTTCACAAAATTTACATCCATTAATAGTCATCGTTGTCGAAATAAAAATGATATGTAAATTATTTTGGTTTGTTGCTATTACCAAAATTAAATGTATATTACTGAATTTGTACGTGAACATTTGTTATTCGTTTTGTTTAGAGTATAATAATATAATACAAGCTCTAATTATTCTTCCATGTTGGTTCAAGTTGGTTTATTTTTAAACTCTTCAATTCTTCGTAGAAATGTAGAACCATGTTAAAAATTCAACCTGTAAAACTATTCTAATTATTCGTTAAACATTTTTTTGTATCATCACAATTATAGAAGATTCTCAGATGGCCAAGTGCAAATAAGACATCTTATAAAATAATTTAATATCAAATTAATTAAGCATAAAAATATATATTATATAATAAATAAATATTTAGAAGACTTCTACTAACAAGCTGTTTTAATTATCAAACTTTTCTACGTTGAAACGTACTTTCCTTGAGTTTAATGAGCTCAATATCAACACTTTTTCTCGAGCAGAGTGTAATTGAACACAACTGATTTCTATGGTTTGTCTGGTTTCGTTGTTAAAAGAACCAGAACAAGTTCAGCATACTTGTATTTATTACTGTCAGCCACAAAAGGAAAACAGACAACGTTCTCTTCGTTAATGGAGCCTAAAAAAGCGAGGTTTACCTTGAATTTTTACGAAGAACAACCGCAGACCGTATTGAAGCTGCAATATCCTTTCTGTGAAAAAAAATGTCAACTATATTTATCGAAATAAATCTTTAATAATAATATTTATGTATTCTTTCGTTTTATTTCGTTCTCGTAGCACATGTATTATTGCAATAACTTAACAAACTGTACAATATACAATGATGTAACAATTATATTTGGATGCGTAGTTTGAGAAAGAGATAATATATATTTTAAACGTATAACAATATTGCACGGTTTAAAATTTTACTTTGTAGATCACGTATCTTCATGTTGAATTGGTCCTAGAAAAACGATAACGAGGAATGGACGTCGAAAAATAAAGTTTCCATTTTATAAAATATAAGATCTATTTATGCATTCGCATACAATTGACATAAGGTGCATTCCTTACAACTGTTATTTGGCAGTAGGTAACATTCTTCAATTCTTCGAAAAGTTCGATATCAAAAATATTTTCTAAGCCGATCGAAATTTTTTACTATATTCCTCTTACCTAAAAAGCTAAATATTTTCCGTTATTGTAGGCAAATATATCGTTTAACTTTATTAGGCACGAACGTGCATGAAAATTTGTCGAACTGTGAAATCGATATCCTACAACGAAGCATTTCACGTGTACGAAGAAAAACAGCAATTCTTCTAATATCATTTAAATCGTGGATGTAATGTAATAAATAAGAACGCGGAATGATCTCAGTATTACTTATATGTACATCTAATTAATCTACGAAAATCGATGTTTTCTCTCAATTTCGACGTTGCATTGTCGCATTTTTCTGTTCTCAAATTTTTAACAAACAGTCCTTTGCGTTTAGTGCAGTCTTCGCTCAAAGTGCCGCTTCCGCTTCGACGTCCATAGGGTACTTCTTCGTTTTGCGTGGTTTTCTACAACGAATAAGGAAATTTCATAAGCTAACAGACTTTCATAAGTCTCTCTGAAAAATAAATGAAAACTCAGATGCATAAAATTCTTTAAATCTTTAACGCCCAAGATCCTGTATCAAATTAACCTAAAAATATTTAAAACGATTAAACTGATTTCCACAACTAGTTTATCGATTTCTATTTATCCAAAATTTGTGGATAAATATAATCATCGAAGAGCAAGTTACTTCAAGAGTACTGAAAATTTTACTGACTTCCCAAAGTCTTCGCCATCTTGAAGAGTTTCCGGAAGCGTGCATCCAACAGTTTCCGGCAACAAAAAGCAAAGCGCGGCGCCGATGAGTGGCAGGATACCGAAAAAGGCTGGGGGCAGCCACGTTTGCACTTGAGCCTGCGATAAAACATTGAAAACATTATTAAAAAACAGTACTAAAAATTAAATAACACATCGATTAAAACCTGTTTGATTTACGGCTCTTTTTGCATATTAATACAGTGATACTACGTTAATGTTCGCTAGCTTGACTCCAAGACGCGAACATTATCAAGGAAGGTATTCTAAAATTGTTTAGATAGTTACTTTTACAAATTGCACGATTCTCATATTGTGGCTCAACTTTAAAAATGTGCAAATATTTTAAAAAACAGATTATTCTAATTGAAGGAGTTTGGCTTAAATGATATTTTCGATATCATTTTGTTACTTTAGATATTTGCATGGAGCTTGTCATAAATCAACGGTTAGACTTCGAGTTATTTTTTAAAGTAAAGTAAACAATTTTCGATTTTTTGAAACTTTCACACTGGTGTAATTTTAATTTCGTAATCTCGAAATATCTTGTCATCATCCAACTTACCAAAGACACTACGAAAGGCGCTGTAATGGAGCCTATTCTTGCACACATGCTACTGGTGCCCACGCCTATGTTTCTGACAACTGTGGGGAACAATTCACCGGAAAACAGGTAAACTGTCGTAAAGGAGACCGACATGCCAACGATGCCGACACAGACTAGAATTAATCGAAGCCACGACATATCTGCAAACAAGAAGCATTATTATACAACAAATGTTGAGGTGCACAACTGCATAGACGAGGTAGACGAGTAGACCTTTCACCTTATGGACTTTCGTGGCCCAATCTGACCCCCATACCGACCTGAAAATTCGGAGGTGATTTTAGCGTCCTCTTATCATGGATGGCGGTCAGTTGAGGAACTATTCACTGAATTAGTATTTATAGGCAGATAGCTGTAGTGTGTGCGTAAATACATATGAGTTAACTATGATAGGGATTAAAAAACGCAATTTTCAAACGACCATAATTCCTACAATAATGAATGTATTTCATTGAACTTTATTTCTCGAGTAGAGCTCATGGATACCTACAAAAAAGTATTAGACAACATTTCCGTACAGCGTCACACAAATTTATTAAAAATCAAAAACGAATTTTTAAGAAAAATCGACGGGGTACCTTTCGACAAAAAAAAAAAGAAACTTCAAATCGTTCTGGAAATATTATTTTCGTTTGCAAGGCTCAATTACAATCATTTTTGGTGAATAGACATACCTACTAAATCCTACGCATTTTCGAGAAAAAAAATTCATTACCGAAAATATAATGTCTGATACCCCGAAATTTCATGCGAATCTTTAAAATGTCATAACTCCTGAACGGATTGAAGGATTTTAATGTTTCGAAATGCAAATAACGGATATTTTAGTGAAGAATATGTAGAAATTCTTGCGATATTGAAAAAGTTGTTCCTTGACCCCGTCAAGTTAGAAAACCCATATAAAAGTGGTCCAATTTTCAATCAGCCATAACTCATACAATAGTGAATGTATTTCAATAAAACTTTTTTTCTGAAGTAGAGCTCATTGGCACCAACAAAAAAGTATTAAACAACTTTTCTATAAGGCGTCAAACAAAATTATTAAAAATGAAAAACGAAGTTTTAAGAAAAATCGGCAAGGGGTACCTAAATTCTTCGACGAAATTGAAAAGTTTCAAATGACTCTGAAAAAATTATTTTCGATTGCAGGGGTCAATTACAATCATTTTTTACCAATAGACATACCCCCGAAATCCTACGCACTTTCGAGAAAAAAATTTTTTATCAAAAATATAATGTGTGGCCAAGAATGTTTCTGTAATTTCATTTTCTGTCTCACTTCATGTTGTGTTCATTTGTGTAACCTGTTGGTAATGATGCGAGTGACACAAAAATGGTAAAGGGGCTCTAGAGACCCATAAAAATGGGCTAAAAAAATACTTTGGGCGAACGACCTCGTATACCTCGTCTGTGGTTGGGCCACGAAAGTCTATATAAAGTGTAAAGTCTATGCAAATACCTCGTCTGTGCCCAAAGAGATCTATACTCACTGTCTGAAATTACGATAAGTAGGAGCGCAGCAATACCGGTCATCGAGTTGCTACAGATCAATGTGATCTTCCTGCCCAATCTGTTCATTGCCCACCAGGCGACGAAGTTTCCAGGTATCTGTATCGCGCCGGACACGGTGAAATTCACGAAAATATTGCCACCAACTTGTCCTATGTATTGTGACATACCAAACAGCCCCATCCCGCAGACGATCCAATTAAAGAAAATCGATAAAGATTTGATCCTCATGTTGGGGGTACGGAACAGGTCGAAGAACGAAGCTTTGTGATCCGATTCCGTACGCTTGGAATTCTGTGGAAATAGTTTGACGATTACCAAACTCCATTTTTTGTTATTTTTCTTGTTCTTGTTATTTTTTAGCTGATTAAAATTCGTTTCATTTAGTTCACGACCTATTTATTGTTATGTTTATAATATTCTGAAACTTTTTTCAATGTTTACTGATGATAAACCATCAACATGTGAAATGTAATTGTTATAATCCATGATAGATTTTCAAGATGGCAAATTCACTTAGAAAATTTTGCTTAGAAAATTGTCATTGTCACTCATTTGATAATATTTTTTTCTGACAATAAGATCCGGGAGAATCGAACTCGAGACCTCAAGAGAATCGAAGACAAGCGTCTAAACCAAGGAGCCACGGAGAGCTCGTACCATACATTGTCATATTTACTTATTATAAATTATAATTTTAATTAAATTTAAATATGTTCACGTTTTTAGAACTTTGGTATTTCACTAATTGTTTAAAATACTTTACCTGATGCAAACAGTGCTGCCTGACCAACTCTGGAATGTCCTTATTTCGTATCTTATTAATATTAGCTGCCTTTTGCAGGACCGTGCACGCTGCCCGTTGCTTTCCAAAAACTAGCAACCATCTAGGTGATTCGGGTACGATCCACCAGTAACTCAGAAGAATGATCGAAGGCAATGTGATTGCGATTTGCAGATGTTGCCAATGCCGGAACATAAATGCGAGCCCAGCCAGTGACATGTGACCCAAGCTAAATGGAATTTGGTAAAGTACTGTGATGGCCGCCCGCCACTGTGTACCAACGATTTCCATACCTGAAAAAAATTAAAAAATTGTTGCATCAAATTATAAAATCAGTGATCCTATTAACAATTAAAGTTTTGACAATTTTAGTACCGAAGAAGTCAAGATTTTTGTTAAATCATCTTGGCAATATAATAATAATTTGCATAAATACGAAAATAATACTGACAAAATCGATATCTTCAATGAAGTAATATTGAATTTTGAATAAATATATATATATAATATCAAATGTTAAACTCAGCTTAAAATTAAAATATATGGGGGAGTCTTTACCTGTTATTGGTCACTTTTACACTCACATTCTGCCATCTATCGGACAAAAGTTAAAACGTTCGCTCGTTCTCCGAAACTCCGGACAGTTCCAACAATCACACACACTTCAAAATCTTTGCTCGAAATATTCGAACTACAATTCAAAGTTTGAAAAACTCACTATATATTTATTAATATGTACTTGATACTTACAGATAACATAACTAGTAACCATCGTGCCTCCAGTAGCCAAGGCGCTAAGCAATTTCATAAACAATAGCGCCGGAAACCACGGCACGATGGCGCATCCGATACCGGAAACCAATTGAAGGACTACAGCTACCATTAACGGCATCTTTCTACCATATCTAATGGAAACGAAATTCGTACAATTTAGTTCCAACGATGTTCTCAAAGTTTATCGTACAACGTTTGTTTCAGAGTACGTTCGAGGATAAATAATAAATATTATCTATACCTATCTGCTAGATTGCCGAATATAATATTGCCCAAAAGCACGCCGAACATCAAAATAGATTGCTGGATATTGGCGTAATGCGTTCGACTGCATACTAAGTTCCACTGAAATAATCCAATCATAAACGAATATTTGTTTAGAACAGTTTTTGCAAGAAAAGAATATTCTAATTGGCGAATAACTACGTTGTAGCATTTAAGAATCGAAAACTGTGACAATAATATTTCTCAAAATTTGTTCAGCTTATCCGTGCAACTATTTTTATTTATGTTATGAAATTTATGAAAACATTTTTTGCAGTTAAAAGTCCCGAGTTTTATTGATATCTTTATCATATTTATAAAAAACATGTTATAATAATAACCAACATAGCGACGAAAATGTCATGGAGTCATTTAACTCTCCGAGTACTGTGCCGGAGTCACAATTGACTCGTCACTTTCCTCAAAATACAGAATCTAGTCTCTAATCATTCTGGCACGTAAAGTCGTTCCCCTAAAATATTATCACCCGTAGCTGAACGCCCTCTTTTCGTAAAAATAGATGACGATGAAAATCTCGTAACTCATAACTTGTAAATAAAGGTAAAATTAATACAAGATACGAACGTTTCCACTTACCTAAGACGATAGACATCGTCAACGATTTAAATTGCTTTCGCACGACATCCAGTACCGCCGATTTCGTTTATTATTTCGTCGAACGAACACGATCTATTCGCACGCATCGTAAATTTAAAAAAATATCGATCGAGAAACGATTAATAATAACACATTAACTCCTGTCGCTGTAATTCAAGTTATCGATTACCGCCGCTTCCGGTCTGTTTAATGAAAACAGAGGCCCGATAGATTCGACAATTACCTGCGATATTATCGTTTCGGAGAACGTGCTCCTGTCGTACACCCACTCCGTACACTCCGCCAGCGTACCATTGACATTGACTCTGCACTGATCGGACGATTCTGCGCGAGCTGGCGCGGTGCAGTTGAACTCTTGATGCGGCGCCATGAAGACGATGGCGAGCTGGTGCCAAGCGATCGGGAACTTGACCAGGGAAATTGCCAGACAGACGTAAATTTGCCATCTGCCAAGTGTACCCATGGCTTCCTGCACGGCATCGACCTCCTCCTCATCATAGTTGACAACTTCCTCCTTTCCATTAGAGACTTGCTTGCCATTCACGCCCGCTGCAAGAAAAACGACTTTTTCAAATTTTACTTTTTGAGTTTCGACAATTCGACATACTTTGAGACATTGGGGAGATCGATGACAGTTGTGACACTGTAAATATCTCAGAATAGACAGGGTGTTCGACCACACCTGGGAAATATTTTAATGGGAGATTCTAGAGGCCAAAATAAGACGCAAATCAAGGATATCAATTTGTTGATAGAGACTTCGTTAAAAAGTTATTAAAACATTAAATTAAAAAATTTCAAATCGTTTAAAAAAAATTATTTTCGGTCGCGGGGGCCAATTGCAATCATTTTTGGTGAATACACATACCCTCAAAATCTTACGCACTTTCACGAAAAAAATTCATTACTGAAAATATAATGTCTGACCATAATTGTCTGGCTACCTTGAAAAAAAAATTTCAAATCATTTTGAAAAAATTATTTTTAGCTGCAGAGGTCAATTACAATTATTTTTTGTCAATACACATACTCTCGAAATCCTACCCAGTTTCGAGAAAAAAATTCTTTACCGAAAGTATACTGTGTGGCCGGAAATGTTTCTATAACTTTTTAACGAAGCCTCAATCAACAAATCAGTATCCTTGATTTTCATCTTATTTTGGCCTTTAGAATCTCCCATTAAAATTTATCCCAGGAATGGCCGAACACCCTGTGTAGGGTATTTTCATCTTCAGAGAATAATGCTTATTAATAAACAATACAGTAACGCTTGGATAACTGCGAGTCATTTTCGATTGGATAAGTGAACTTTTCTCCGATTAAAATAAGACCATGATATAAATAATTTCTTTTTAACTTACTCCTAATAGAGTATAAAATTTCGTTAAATATGCAAATACAATCCAAGTTATGCATATCGCGTTTGGTCTTATTTTAATCAAAAAAACCTCACAAATATATTAGTAAAGGTAAAAACCTCATAAGTAAAATAATAGATATATTAGTAAATCTATTAATAAAAAATAAAAAACAAATAAATTTCACATTGTGCAATTCTTATTTATTCTGGGTATTTTTCTTGGAACTGGAAAATTAATCATGCTTTTTATAACTGTGAGACTTCGGTCCCGTGTTTCTCGCAATATTCAAGATTTGCAGTGTATTGTACATATTATAAATAAAAATAAGCATAAAATAAAATAGAATTGATATTGAGACTTATAATTTAATTATAAATTGCAAACCTTTTGAATAAGGAAATTTTAATGGTACAAAATTCAAGGTTAGTTGTACATTCATTAGCTAGTATGCAAATCCTATTATTCTAACACAGTACTATAACTTGAAAATAGAATAAAATAGGACACATGTTTGTATGAACTTTTGTTATTATTGTCTTGTGTAGAATCCATCACTGAAATCGGTCGTGTAATAAATATTAACACAAATTTTATGTATATAATGTAAAATTACATTTGGAACACACTCGTCCACCATACTAATATAGGATGCTATTAGACAATTGTATAGCAAATAACTTTTCAATATTCAAAAGTAAACTTTTCTTACTATTTAAAATTTTGAATTAAATATTCTTTCAGCAAATTATTGGTGATACGACTCTAAAGCTTAAAAACTCTTTCTGGTGTTCAATTGTTCCGTGTTTAGAATAGTTAAAAATGTGTTATTGTCTAATCGCTAACAAAATACAATCTTTCTTTCTTGTTTGAGATTTTTAATTTGGTGTTTTATAAAGAAACAAAAACGTGATATTATTGTAAATAAATATTTATAACTACGTTCGATAACAGGGTAACAAGTTTGACAAATATCGTGGGATCTTCGTGGGGGATTCGATAGTTACAATTTTAATTTGCTTTAGACAAAACAATCTGTCCCTAAAGAGGTTAAACTGATGCAAGAAAAGTATACTGTTACAGTCACTAAGCTTCGATAATAAATGCATTAATACAAACGTGTGCGTAAGTTATCCCCATTTTCTTTCATTAAACACTTTTTTTCACGCCCCCCTTTGGATTATAAGACACTGCCCCTCCCCCTCCTCCTTTGAAAAACAATGATACAAAGAGACCTTTTACATGACCCATACAGAACTGATGTAATGTCTCCCATGGGGACGGGTGAATCCCGCCCCTTCGACAACATTTATCTAAAACATTTCTTTTTTTATTTTTCGTAATTAAAGAATATAGACGCAAAAACAGTTTTGCCAGACAAAGTTAAGCCACGGAAAATAAATTCACGATAGTGTGTATATCTCCATATTAATAAATAAAAATTAAATTGTTCCTGAGGGACACCTGAAAGATCTTCAAATTATAAAAATGTACACACTGTTTTGAAGGTTGAAAAACAAAAGAAAAACGAAATATAATTAAAATATATATTTCATTAAGTATTCAAAACTTCCCAAACATTTATCGAGTCTTCGTTTAATATTATTATAGTATTACAAGCTTCTCAAGTTCTTTCACTTATTTATTCAAATATTAATCCTTGCCCTACTTTTAATAACAAAAACAGAAATGTAATGCTAGAAGATTAAGTGAACGAAAAAAACGAATATAATTAATAGATGGATAAAATATACGTGTAAATTCTAGCACGTGTTAAACGCATTAAAACTAAATGGCTGATACGACAAAATGCATGATTCACAACATCCTGCGTCGCACCGTCCTTGAACTAGCTCTTGAGATATTAATTCTGGATCGTTTGTTCAAGAATATTGCCACAACCTCGATCATTGCAATCAGAGATAATTGTTATTTAATTAAGAATGTCGAATAACGAATAAACGACAAAAACAACTCATTAAACAAAAATAGAACTTTAAATTAGAGGATTAAAAATCTCACTAAAAAGCAATTAAAACTACAACTATTCAATATAGTAAAATAAATGTCATAAATATTTTTTATAGAAGACATAATTTTATTTTTTAGAATTTACTTATTTTGTGAACCTTTAGACTGACCGAGAACTTGAACTAGATAACTGCCGATGTATCGTCTAGAACAATTTCTAAAAATAAGAAAAAATAAAATGTTTGTAACACGATGTAAATGGAGACCAGTTTAGCAATCAGAACATGTTATTTACGCATCGTTGTAAACATATTCCAAATAGAAATAAATGCGATAACAACAAAATATTATTGAATTGTTTTTCAACGATCAACTGTTTAACAACTTTTTCGTTCGAGCACATTTACAAATCAAGGACAGTGTCAGGGATTAAGTTTCTGTTTGTGTGACCTCTTTTACAATCGTCTTACACAAACACAATGACGCTGTATCGCATATGCAATTACGTTTGCACAATTGTATTTTCTAATGGCGAATCTGGCTTCCCATGGAAATAACTTTGGAATTAGCAATGTAAATTGTCTATAACCTTCTTGCAATATATATACATAGCGGGCAATTCGCCGTACAACAAACACACTGATTTCCAATAATCGATGTTCGTGGATTTCCATAGAATCCTTTGATAATTCATGTTTCTTTAAATAATATTTTACGCCTGTTTTGCAATTTTTCGTCGGGAGATACGCGTCAAACAATACTTAATTGTACTACACATCGATAAAAAAGATTATTTAAACTATTTAAACACTATATACACGAAGCAAATAAAATAAACATTTTTTAATGACTCGTCGATTTACTATACTTGCTTGTAACTTTCGTACCGTGACGTTGAAAAATTGAACTTGACGTTATTTGATTTATGTGCTTCTTGCATGATTTCAATGAATATTCTATTTAGAATTACTTCTTGCGGTCATCTACGATTTTTTGGTTCCACGTTGAAAACTTTTTCCCCCTAACTAACTTGTAACTTCATAATAAAATATTTAAAAAAATTTCAACGCACATTGATCGTTTTTATTAAATATATAGAAAATATAAAATACTTATTTAAATTCTGTTTATACATTTTTCATCCCCTCAACTTAATTTGCTATTATCTTTTTATAAGAAATTTTCAACTTTGTAAATTTTGAAGTTTTATTGTTACAGGCATATTAAACTGTAACGTATTCAAAATCAAAATAAAATAATTTTCCAACGTCTGTACAAAATTTTCAAATCACCTCGACTGTTATTTGCACACATTGTGACAAGCTGTTGCCTTAAAAAAATTTTTGAAATAGTAAAATACTCTTCCCTGCGAATTAATATTGTAAAGTCTGATCAGGTTGTAAATCTAAATCGATCATTATTAAAAAGTAGAAAAAGAATTCAAGTCTTTCTAATCCTTTCACTTTCCTTCACTTTCTTATTTCGTGCGATCGTTAACACGTTTGTTCTCGATATCTCGTTCAAAGGAATGCATTTTTCTATTCGAAGGACATCGCCACTGGCGTGCAACTTGACCGAATTGAGACTGGAAACACGAACAGAATGGAATTTAAATAGATACTAAAAATATGAACACGAACATACGTGTCCTCACTTATTCGAAAACACGATTTACATTCGTACCTAAATATACTCAATTACCTGTTGGGTAGATTGTTGCAAATATCTCGTGTCAAAACAGACGACTGTTTGAAATTTAAATATAAAGGTTCAAAAGAGGTTGAAATTTATTCGAACGTTCGGAGGAAATTTTGTGAAAAATGTGTACGTATTGAAAAATATATAGTTGTCATAGTTGTCTTTCTTATAAGTCAGACGAGTCTTAAAAACAATTTAGTAATTTTTGAAAACATTTTATAACATACGTACAACTTGAATTTAGACTAAACCACACGAATCTTTCAATATCGTTTTATAAATCTTTTCTTTAATTTTATTTTAGATCAGCAAACACAAACAAAGTACAAAATACAAGGTATAAAAGCTATAAACAACTTTACAAAGTTCAATAACGTAAATAACCCGTTATTTAGATTTAAATTCATGCTTTGAAAATTATAATAACAAATTTTATTTAAAAAATTTTCAAATAAATGGATAGTATATGTATCCATAAAATAAACGTGTCTTAATCGGCAACTAATAACCACTAATAACTAA